ATGATTTTTTTCGAAAACTCAAAAACGTTCTGTGAAAAAGAGCTACAAATTTCGAATTTACAGTAGCGCTTAAACGCCATTTTCATAAAAACGGCTCAAAATCTTTTACAGAAAATGGCCATTTTGGGAAAGGTTTTACTGCTCTTTAATATTCTTAAAATATTTTTTCTGTTCTTCTATTAGGAAACCTAAAAATTGAGAGTTGTGGTATTTCCAGAAATTATACCGTTAATCTTGCACTTTGTAGAATATCCAGGATTTCGCTGAAGAACGCTTAGCAATTTATTGTACACTTTTTCCTCCACATGACCACGAGCTCGACCCAACTCGCATGTTGCACAATATTCACGGCGTCACACATTTCTGAATTAGCAGTTTCCAGTCGGGGGATGGCTTTTGATACCACTGAAAAGTTGGTGTTGATGCCGTTTCCAGACAAGGAAAGTGAAAAAGCTTGCACAGCTTTGATAGCACTTCATTCACGGCTATCAAACTCACAGAAGATTTTCTTTATTTCCTTGTAGTTGGTGCAATAATACTCAGCAGCATTAAGCCAAGAACCCCAAAGCGTAAGAATAGGCTGAGAGGGAGACATAGTGAAGGTACTAGTTCCTTGAATTTCTGCACCCGCAGTGGAGCTTTGACAGATTTTCTTGTCGGAGGAAATTAATTTGGTCACATCAGGGTCATTTGATCGCACTTCTTCCGCAACTATGTGTAAGGCATGCGCCAAACAAGCGACGTGTACTATACTAGAGTAGAGAACCTGCTGCCCCTTAGATGTTTTAGCCACTTATGAAGCACCATCTGTCCCAAGTAGCAAAACATTCTCTGTTCACACCATCCGGCCACAATAGTCTCATAGAATTGTCGAACAAAATTGCAACTGTCGACATGTATACTCTCTCAAGAACTTCACACGTCAGGAGGAAAATTTCTCCAGGCCCGCAATTTTTAGAACAGCGAAAACAACATTAGCAACATAAAGTACATTCACATCGGCGGTTTCATCTACGGTCACCCAGATCTTTTGGTCAGCAACACTCATTCATATTTTATTGAGCACCTCTTATAGCACACGGATAAATAATGTTTTCTCAATGTTGATTCATCTGGAAAGGGATGTGTTGTGTACTTCTCCAAGAACTGTGCGAAGAGTGGATTCTTCAGTTTCTCCAATGGGACGATGCAAGACACCATTTCACCCACGGAGACGTGTGAAACGACGTGAAACGACGTAACCAATTTCATAACTCATATGAATTATAACGAGAACTACAGAACAAATGTGCGGAAGTGATTCATAAGACAAAGAAGGTGTAATAAGAAATTGTAACGGAATTCTAACGAGAAAAAGGAAAAATGCCGGATGCCGAATCCAAGACTCGCATAACGGCAAGTCACCAAACAAGAATTTAATATGTTCTCAATGTTTGGAATTCACAACTGTCGATAATTTAATAAGATGTGATGGAGAATCTTAACAAGCATTCCATAAAAAAGTGCGCTAAGCTAACGAACGGTGAAGTCAAAACACTCTGTAAAGCATCTCGTAACGTAATTTGGTTATGTACGAAATGCAAACCAAAATACCAAGCAAAACAAAACGCTCTAGAAACACTGCAAAAACAAATCTACGGCTCGCAGAAAATCTCTGACATCTGAAAATAGAAATAAAACATATGATAACACACAACTAAAAGATACAATGAAAATTGGCCTCAATGAAAACAAAACCAAACAAAAAAAAAAAAAACATTCATCCATGAAATGATATGAAGTACGAAAGAAGCTTAACCCTGAACATTTCAATATAGCCTCCCGTATCACAGAAGCCAAATGACATTCCTAAAAACTCCACACACACACACACACGAAAACATCCGGGAAGGAGGGCAAAAGCAGCACTGAACCAAGAAGTGGCGCTGGTCACATCCCAAACAATATAAGAGGGGAAAAAACGGAAGCCAAGATACAGAAAAATAATTCCTTCCCGGAGGGAATGAACCATCATCGCCAGGGGTCCAAAAGGTGAGAACAAGGATCCAAGGGTGAACACGAATAATAATTGGCACAAATGAGGACAACACCAGAGGAAAGCCTAAAATACAAGCCGGTACAAAAGTGGCATGGCGGAAAATTGGACGGGAAAACAAACAAATATGATTTACCAACATTCATCAAAGAATCTGGAGTAAATAAAGAAATATCAATAGAAGAACTGAACTCAGTGTAACGAAACAAGGCCTTTAAAGCGAGACTCCTGCTAGAAGACACCCCAAAGATAGAGTAGCGAGTTCTGGCTGAAAGGTATAGCCATTTCGCTCTCCATAGGGAAGTTAAAGAAATGGAATGTTGCTCCATCAGACCAATTAAGAGAGGTTACCAAGAAAAATGAATAATTAAGACAGTATTAAGGTGTATGACCTGGAATATTGAAGGGATCATCAATGCAATTAATATGGCCGACCATTGTATATTTGAATACATTATAATACTAGTTGAAACGTTCCTAAGGGAGCCATGGAACACTCCAAAGTTTTACACATCCCGTGTACTCGCAGTACAAGGTACACTAGGGAAGACCCAGGGGCAGATCACCTGTCTCTTTGAGTCCAAAGCTCTCCCCCTTCAATGACGTTATAGTCCAGTGAAAAGGTATCTGACCCAGGAAAATATTCCGATTTTTTTTCAACGGTTCTATATGTTTTTGAGGGAGCAGAATTAAAATTTTATGTTTGCCGCCTCAAAAAGAGTCGGCCTCGCAGAAGAAAATTGAAAAAAGAAAAGAAAAAAAAAACTAAAAATTTCACCGTTTTTAGCTTTTTGCTTATATTTTCAAAACTGACCGTTTTATTTAAACAATTATTATTTAAGAAATTAAAGTAGATAAAATGTTTTATAAAATACTACATTAACTTTAAAAGTCTTAAAAACTGTTAAGACATTAGAGCACGCTGAAAAATTGTTATTTTTTTGGCCTCTGGCCCACACAGGAGAATAGCTCTTTCCAGCCATCCTACCTCGCGACGGCGCTCTAGTTTCACTTTATCGAGCTTAAAAACTGCAATTGTGAACAAATAATTGGCATTGTTAAATGATGTGACATTGTTAACCGCATTTCACGTTTTTTCATATTTATTACCTGTTCTTAACACAAGTGGTGTAGCTCCATTTATGTCTTTAAACCAAGTCTTAACTGGACAAATTTAATCAGTTGATTCACTCAATATGATTTAAAACAAACCTTTCTAAACATGCATAGCATATAAAAATAGTAGAAAATAAAGAACTGCTGATTTTTTTAAACAACTACTAAAACATTAAATATGTATTTCTCAACAAGAAAAATTTGACTTACACCACTTGGCCTTGAAGAGAATTGTGAATTTCAGCAGCAAATGGAAAACATATTTCACTTTGACAAATTCTCTTTGGTGTTCCATATACTTTTCACATAATTGTTCCAACTTTTGTATTTCCTCCAAAATGTGTTTTTAATTGTCCCCACTGTTTCACACCCTTCCTGATACTGCTCCAAACTTGGACAATTAATATCCCAGAAGATAGTAAAAATGAACTTACAGACGAGACTGCTGGAACGACCAGAGCATTGTTCGTAAATGACTGACATCCATCTGTTTTTAAAGGAATCTACCCACTCGTACTTTCTCCTTTCACCAAAGCAGCTAATAACTTTCCACAATCTATTTATTAATTTCTTGTTTTATGTCCTCCAATCAGAAAAATCATAATACTGTTTACTGTTCTTCTACGATGCACACAAAAGGATGTACTTAGTAAACTTACATCCCGCAACAGTGTATGCACATGTACATGCCTGTAATCATTGGTAACGCCAATAAATTTTGCTGCCATTGTATTTCCACTCAACAAACATCGCTGTTTGTTGACTTCTCACTTGACATATTTTTAATGAGAACACTTTCAGTTCGTAGAAAACAAAGTACAAAAAAAATATATTTTTCATGAATTCAGGTTACCAAAAATCAATCGGCAAATATTACCTTTTGCCCTATCGTAACAACAGACCACTATTTTGTTCCAAAGGCTCCTCTCATTTCGTTAGTTTTGACATCTTTTGTTGTTTGTCAACACATTCCCAAACCATGTCTTTCCTTTGAAGGAATTTCAAAGGGCTGGTGAGTTCTGTTCATGTAATATCATGAAAATGCTGTTACTTTTAGAAGAACCTTCTTATTACATTTCTTCAGCATCAATATTAAAGTGACAAGCAAGAAAAAAATTGAACTCTTGTGATTTTCTAATTATATGTTTTCTAAATATTTTAATGAAAAAAGATACTACACCATTTTATTACGAAAATTTTATCCTTCTCGAATAAAAGAATGAAAGAACACATTTGGGGCCACTTTTGTGAAAATTTTTTAGTGACAAAATTTTTATTGTCACTATTTCTGTCTATTTTTGTTTTTTTTAATGTACATGACATTATTTAATGATATAATTTGTAAGAACAGTTTCGTTAAGAAAAACTATCTTCAATATAGTAGTTAGTGTAGGAGGTGAAAAACATTTTTATCTTTTTTGCAATTCAGGTGAGGTTTCAATGAAAGTTGAACCTGTTCAATTTATAAAAACCTCTTTTCCTCTATTCAAGCTATTCTATTAAAGAAAAAATTCGAAGCCATTTACAGAAAATTTCAAAAATGTCTTTCATGTAAACAACTTCCAAAAATTAAAACATATTAAAATTTAATAGACTGCATTACTGACAGGAAGATCACTGGAAACAACTTTTACAGTATCAAAGAACCAAAAAACGTTTATTTGGTCTACCCAGCGTAATCCAGTAATCTCTATATATAGCAACAACAAAAATCCACTGTTTGGTTCCACAAAGCCACAAAACAAGTTTGTCTTTAAGAAAAATCCACATTTTTTTATCTTGCAGCCTGACTTTACCATCTATGAACTATGTGATGGGCAAATAAAAATGATTTTTTTCTTTCACTTACCAACAGACGGAGGAGTGCTCTTGCCGTTAAAACTTTCATTGCACATTGCCAAAGGATCCTGCAGGAGAAGAAAGAAAAATCACAATTAATCAACAATGCATAATGAATGCACATTACTTGCTGAAAGAATATTTTTAATTTGCTGCAAGAGAAAGAGGCGTCTTCAATTGACGCAACACATCTCCAAGCCCCGGGAGCCGTTGAGCACTTTGCGCTTTCAGAGTAATTCTCCATTAATATTTTGACATGTCATATCTGCCAAGTCTTGTCGCAGTCAGTTGTCAAGAGGACCGCCAAGTAGCATCTCCACATATGCACCCCTGTGTCACTACTCAGCAGCCAGAATTGAGAAGGAATTAGAATTGAGGTAGGGTGTAGGGCACTTCACAAGGGTTGGACTAGCTTGCAAGCAAGCATGCAAACTAGTTTTATGATAACAAATTTCACATGAGGTTCTACGAGCATTCTATGGGAATCACACCTATAACCTCAGTGGTGAAAGGCAAGTGCCTTCATCACTGAGCCACGAGAGCACTTTAGAACATGATATATGAGCATTAACATGACATATAAAACATGATGAATATTTTAAAACATGAAATTGAAACTTTAAATTAACAGGAGAGAAACTCTCACTCTCTCTCTCCCTTACCCCTCTAATCTTTTTAATATTTAGTATGCATTCATGAATTACAAATATGTGCTACCTCATGCATTGAACCGTTTGATGTAAAACAGTGTTGCCAAATGATATTCTTACCTCATGTTCCAGTTTTTCCTCACCATTAGATGTCTCCTCAGGATCAAGAAACGCTCTCATCAGTGGCTTCAGCTCCTCCTGCAATTGCACCAAAGTGTTACATTCTCAGACGTCATCACTTAATGAGAGGGTTATGAAATTAAGAATCTATGACTAATATTAATAACAAACTTAATAACAGGTGTCTGAACATCACACAGACTTTCTTGTATTTGTAAGAGTTACATTAAAGTATTACTATCTTGCAAATTATACTCTTCTAATATTTCAGCTACATCTCGTGCATAACTCTTTATCAAACAGCTTGAAACAAAGCAAATATCTGCTTCCTTATGCCTTCCAAAACCCACTTTTTAAGTAAAATTATTCTCTTTGATTTGTATATGGTCTGTAATGTGTTTAGCAACACCAAGTTCATACAACTAAATTTGTTGCCAATGAATTGACATCTGAATTTATGGATTCAAGCCGCGATGGCTTACGTGAGATTCTGAATTTCTTGCAAAAGGAACAATGCTTAAAAGTTTCTTTAGTATTAAAAATGTTCATCCTCTCACTTCTTAATAAATTTAATTTAGAGAATAACACAATTGTTTATAGTGAACATATTGTGTATTATCAAGGCAACATTTGTTCACATTTTCTCATTGTCTAAATCCTCCCAATGATGAAATGAAAACGAAGAGAAAAGATAAGAAAAGACTAGCTCACCTCCTTTATCATTGTCATCATCATGATCATCTCTTTCTTCATCTTTCACTTCTCTCTTCAAGAAGCAATGCTCACCTTTTTCCTGCAAATGACATTAGCAAACAATATGATGCTTCATAAAGGAATTAACATAACAAATCAAAAAATTACACATTCAGGGTTCGGTCAAAAAACATGCATTGTCACATTACATTATTGTATTTTAAGCATGATTCTGATGTTCAACAATAAGATATAAAAATAATCAACTAACAAATTCCGTAAAGTCAGATGATACCTTTCAAAATTTGCTAATTTTTAAATATTTTAATGTGATTAATTTTGTTAATCTTATTACTAAATTTTAATGCATGCAGAAAGTGAAAGATATTTACGCACAGTCTGGCTTTTAGAAAGGTGTCTATGTCTATATGTTTTGTTAGATACTCAGGAAATCAGAAAAAATTTGAAAACAACGTAACAGTATTGATTACATAATGGATATTTTTTATTGTGCTATACCACCTATTAGCATACTGCGCACATTGACAGAAATTTCATTTTCAGTGCTTATAACAAAGCTAACAACATAATATTTAATACTTCCTACTTAATTTGTAAACAGCTAAAAATCTGTTTAAAAAGTGGTGACACTTAAATAGTTGAAAAAGGTACAGGTAAACAAGCCAATGTAAGGTGCAGTGGGATGCAGTGGAGTGGGATGGGATGGAGTCATGACATTCCCTACCAATATTTTCAAGCACATCCAGTAGTTTAATTCTAATTTCATTTTATACTGCAAATATTTTCAGTATAATTTTATAACCATGATAATTATTTATGAAATAACATTAACTACATTATTTTAGTTGTCACAAGGATAAAGAACTCTCACTGAAATTCCAAATTTACACCTCAGAATCAACATCACCAGGGTTGTTTTATGTAAAGATGACAAAGATGAATATTTTTACAAACAAACATCACTGCAGCTTCTTCAAACCCATAACATAATCTTTAACGCAACATTATACATGGAAATACACTTATCTTCCAATGATTTCCCTGTTTTGTCAATGTAACTTCTCAATGGATGGTATGAATACTGTGAGTGGAACCTCAAACTCAAGAGACTTTAGCGGTACATGGGAGGATACAATGTGGCACAATAGGACACATAGTTAAAAAAGAAATATCTTCTTCAAGTTTGTTTATGCAGTCTTATACAAAAACATTAACGTATGAACAAATTAAATTAAAAATATAATGAATTTAAAAAAAGTTATAATGTATAAATTGTTAGACTACATGAAAATACTTATTTCATCAATGATGTAGATTGAATCTGATAAATTACAAACAAAATATTCAAAACTAATATATAGGATATTCTAGAATCCAATTAAATTGGTGCATTAGACTTGGGGTCTATGACATCATCCACGACTGCGGGCTCACAGCTTGTCAGAAATTTTCCCACCTACACATCCTTATTTCATTAAAAAATTGTTTCCCAATCTTATTGTTTGATGCAATCCACATTGCTAACTAATATTGACTTTAATTATCATAAATTTTAAAGTATAACAGAAATACAATTAATACAACTCGTTTCTCTACTTAATATATTTTTACTTACTATACGCAATGGGCGGGGGGTCTTGTTGTTATTTCTAGTGTACTTAATATTTGAGGGAATGGGGGGGGGGGGGTTTTCATAGTTCCTTTAACGAAGGGAAAGAGTGTACATTCAATAATTGACATATTTTGAATTATCCAAATTGAAGGCTGTGGACACAATATATCATGAGTTAAACCCCACCACACTAATTTACACAATACTAGAATAGTTATAAATAGTGGCTTAGAAATCTCCTGTGCATTGAAAGTTTTCGTCTTGGGATATGTGTCTCTAGAGAATGAAGCCAAGTGGTTCTTAAAACAAAGTTTTAAACAAAATTAAATTTTTGCTTCGTTTATTATTGATGGTACCATCGTTGTCGGTGCAAAACCAGCCTCATGTGGGTTACCATGTTATTGTCCACAACCGTTCAATTTATGGATGGCCTCTTGTCCCTTTCCTGGCAAAGAATGGTAAGTAGGATGACCAATCAAAAGAAATTTAATTCAGTCACTGATGTTTTAAAAGTAAAAAGTCAGTTCCCAGTTTGTAAATGATATGCACTATATTTAAATAATTATTCATAAGTAGGAAACAAAAAAAGCACTACTCACGTAGCAACAAATGTATTATCTTTTTTAATAGAGAAAACTACAGTAACTATTCCTTACGTAGTGGATCTTGAATTCAAAAGCCCTAGCACATTTGGAAAAGTTGGTAAATTGTTTATATATTTTCAGTCCTTTATGAAAGGAAAGATTTTGAATTTGGAAAAAATGTAATAATTCCTATCCTAGGAAAAGTATTGTAATTCTAGAACTACTAACACAATTTACTTGTTCTGATCTCAGGCAATTTTTGTGTTTGGTCCTAATCATACCACTAGCACTTCTGAGCAAGATCTCTCGCATGTGAAAATCTGAGCAGTAAAATGTGTTGTAGCAGAGTATGAATATAGACATTAAAACTTGTTTCTTTCGATATTTCGGGATGGCAAACTCTGCTGTCATATATAATCTTTATACAAAACTGCAGCGCAAAATCACAGAATGAAGTGACTGTCTTAAATGTTTTAAAATTACATTTAAAATCTACAAAACCAACTTAATATATATTAAAAAATTCCATACATTCATGCTTGAACAATATTTTTATCAATAAAAAAAATCAAACATGGTATAACATATAATATATATGGTATAAAATATACAAGGTATAAAATACACAATTACATTGGCAAAAATCATGAACTAAGTTGCTCAGGTCAGAAATACACTTTCAACAGATTAGGACAAATGTCATCTCTGTATACATCCCTTAAAATGCTCCAGAATAATAAATTTCCCATGCTCTCTTTACTGACTACACAAAAAAGCATAAGGCAAACAACAATAATTTCATTCAAAAGTACATAAGATACAAGCTACACAATAAAATATTTGCATTAGTCAGTTAGCAACTGCAGTTGATTAAAAAAAAGTACTCAATACATACTCGTAAAATAGTCACATGGAAAAAAATGGTAAATAGAAAACTATTTTTAGCATAACTATAAAATCTGCAAATTGTTATCTCATAAGAATAAATATGTCACAATTAATGTAGAACTATAACTCACGATGGTTTCAAACGAAATATCATCTGAATTGTCACCTGGTTCTACTTTGACCTGAAAAGGAAAGAGACACAATTATGATAATGATAATTGGACAAAGTGTCCAATGTCACCCTATTTTACAGTAGTTAAATAAGCAAATAAAAAAAAATGTAACAGAGAGAGATGTAGAGATAAGGCTAAACAATGTTATTGATTGGGTCTAAATATTGCTGTAAAAGCAAAGTCCAATTAATTACTCCCAATATTTCTGTTATGTTCTCTTGTCTTCCCTTATATATACTACATTCACTATGCCTACACCTTCAGTGAGGTAGTGACACTTTTAGCAATTACTTTTGTAAGGCATGTACTATTCTTCTGAAGAATTCAAAGTAAATTGAAACCTCTATTTTTCGCATAGCCACAAGATCTGGGAATTGTCATCTCAGAATATTGAAATGAATCCATATTTTCTCTTTAAATAATTATAATTTTAAAATAAATTACTCCCCGGCATTGGGCAGCCATTGAAATAAATCAATAGTTTCTCCTTCTCTTTTAATAATTTAGTTCAAACTATTTACTATATTTTACTGCTTTATATTTGGCCTACATTTGAAGTATTGCTGTTCCTTTGATAATATTTACAATTTTACAATATTTTTAATTTAATGGGGTGGCTAGCTCTGGGAGTCAGCACTTCTCAGGGTACTATAATTGTCTTCGTGGGCCTGAAATCACCACTCCTACGAGTATTTGGGTGGTAAACAATTTAATTATTGTTAGGAAATGTTTGTCACTGATAAATTTAACAATTTACAAATTTTGTTCATGAATATACAAGGACAGTAAGTGTCAGTTGCCACAATTTATTTCAAATTTCTGATTAATTAATTTTACTGTTCAAGAATGTATCTTCGTATTTCGCTACTGCTTCAGTTTGATGGCCATCAAATTTTTACAAACAAAACACACCCAACAATTTTTTCTCAATTTTAATACTAACTTCATATCTAAATATAAATTGACATTGCTATACTATTTTCATTACTGTCTTTCTGTCACTTATTACCTAAACTTCCCTTTTGAAATGGCAATCTTGGCATTGTCAATGACGTCAGTGACTGTTCCATATTTCCACCTGGAGCTAATCTTCCACCCTTATGAATGTCAACTAATTAATTTCTACTCTTATTTGTGACCTAATTATCTCATGAATATTACAGTCTTTTCTCTAATAAATTGCATTTAAATTGCTTCTCCATTTTCCTATTACACGTGGATCACATGTCCATTTTCTATCCCCTTGCTCTAATTACAAAAATATTTCAATTTATGCCCTGACAGCCACAGAGGCTTCCTCTACCAAATCCAGCACAGTTTTGACTAATCACAAAAAATTTCTACATAATGCCTTGATGGCCATCGATATTCACCCTACCAAATCTGACAACATTCTCACTCAAATTATTCACTTACACCTTCCATCTGGCCTAACCGGTTCACTTGTTTAATTGTTATAATTCTTCCCTCAATGCGTTTCTGTCGCACCGTAACCAAGCATAAAACGTGTTTTGTCCCCTATCAACAATGTTCTATGTTTATCTGCTTCATTTCAAATAACAACAAAAATGTTTAAATTTTCCAAAACTTAGTTAATCCAATTAATATATGGATTTTCTTACACATACTCTCAATGTCTCATTTTCATTGGCGTCATTCCTTCATTTCGCTACACTATTTGACATTAATAGTTTGCTTATAAATGCGAATCGGTACTTACAATGTGATTCAAATGTAATATATTCTGCATTGTCATTCTGGTTCCTCTTTGACTGAAAACTTAAAGAGACACATTATCATAATTATGATAATGATTACTGGAAAAGTGTTAATTAAATAAAGTGAGTAAAAGAAAGTAAGGTTGCCTAAAGAGTAGTCTAAGTAGAGATAAGGTTAAATGATGATGTTGAATATGTCTATGAAAATATTGATGAAAATTAAAGCATGACTAATTAACTACTTATTAGTAGTAAAGTAGTAGTAGCCATTCTGTGATCTCTTGACTTCCTGATATACATATTAGTCATCAAACAATACGATTGCGACAGATTGATTACTGTTGCAAGACATGTAATAAGCTCCTGATAAAATCCCGTTAAATCGAAAGCTGTATTTTTTGACATAACCACAAAATCTACGAAATGTAATTTCTTCGGAATTTATAAGCCACAATCATTGTAAAACAATGACTCACAATGGATTCGAATGTAATATCTTCAAAGTTGTCACCTGGTTCTCTTTCGACCTGGAAAGAAAAGAAAGATGAAGACATAACTATCAAATTTACATATCTGCCAGATTAGAAATGATTCCCATGGCGGTTCACTGCTATATACTCTCTGGTTCACTGTAGTTAACTACGTAAATAAAAGAAATCTCGGGAGCACAGTTGCCTCAGTGCTGCACTCTGAGGGTTGGATTGCAAAAGAAAGAGCTCTCTACCAATTAGAATCGTTCAATACGGTGTGTGGTAAATTTGAATATAGAGTCCTTCGAAAAGTAGACAATTTATTCCAGGATGCTGTGAAATATCCTGCCGTGATAGTTATTCAGGAGGAAAGTAGAAATTCAATAGTAAAACAATTTCACTTTCTTAAAATATGAGAAAAAATACATATAAGAGAAAGAATTGGCAATATACCAACAAAGTTGTAATATCATTATTATTTAACAAACATTAATTTTAGTAATAATATGAAACTAATAATGGAACAGAAAGTCACAGGATTTCTTGTGCTGTTTAGTTTCTATATGTTGCATTAAATTTGTGCATAAAGGCCCGTTTTCAGGGTGGAGTAAAGGAGACCGTGCGCTAGATATCGCATGAATGCGACCGTATCAAGCAGAGCTTGATAAAAAGTGAAAAGACATGGGTGAACTATTGTGCATCGTATCCGACTTCAACCAATAAGCTTCAGGCACTACTTTGCATCACAATACTACCATGAATCTTATATGCATCCAGATACCAAAATTACCACCTTGTTACAAGTCATTGAAACAGAATATTGCATCTTTTATTTCAATTACACCTTCGTGTTATTTTTGATTGGTCACCGTTGAAAATTGTCACTTTATGCCACTTTCGAAATGTGTCTGAACACTTCTCTCTCTCTCCATGCAAAATGGCGACCAACGGGTGTGGCTTTTCACACGAAATTCCCGTGTTGTGAATACGAAATTCACGTGGTTCGTGACGTAAACTGGTGCTGCGCAGTGCAAGCAGAAATCGGTGCGCCGGAGTAACACAGTCATCTTTCTAATCTTGATTTTGTGCATGGTGGAAAGAATGGGTGGGCTCCTCCGGTACACTGCTAAAGCCATTCGTCCTGCAAGAGTTCAGGTTTACATCATGGGAGGAGGCGGTGATCTTCCCTCCCTAGGTGGCGAGATCCAGCGCCGACCTATATGTCGGCTTGCGAGGTTTTCCCCAACCAGGTACCTCCCACCAGCGGGGCATCGCCTCAGCCGGAATAAGTTCGAAGCTCCCAACTGGTCTCCTGGCATGTGGGGTAGGGTAGAGCATGTAAATAGGGCAATGTGTGAGGGTGAGGTAGAACAAGGGAAAAGAAGGAAAGATCGCGCGCGGTCCGTGGCCCGTTTGTTAGGGTACTGCTTCCGTTTTCGTCTGGCGTTGATCGGAAACGACTGATCACGGAAGCCGCCCGCTAGAATTCTCTACCACATAGCGGCTGAATCCTGCCACTTCCCGGACGCGAACCTCAGAACCACTCGGTCAGAGGCACTGCAGCAGAAAATCGTCATTGCAGCCGATTGCTGCATACTATACCGTACAAAAAGCGTTCTAATAGAGATGTCCAGCATGACGTTACAACATTTGTGGCTGCAACAGCCCCTCGAGAGTTGGTAAAAAACTGCTTTTCTTCCTAAAATGCATATTTGAGAAACATAAACACTCAAGGAGCATGTAAATTGTTTACTGGTTACAAAGACACTTACTGCATTTGTTTAAAAATATCCATTAATATAAAAATAAAAAAAGCCATTGAATTAGGTATTTCATAATCACGTGGCAGCACGGAACTCTCGTCTCCTTGGGTGCCGTTGGTGTGTACTCACAAAAGATATTCAATATATTCTTCAATCTCTTTTAGAAGAGAAATCATGTTCTAAGAACGTGAAATAAGTGTTCCTGTTAAATGTTCCATCAACTATAATTTATTTCCAACGATTCCATACCATTCATTTAAGGAAAATTCTACTTGGACTCGTGTTTACGTGTTGCATGTGGGTTAGAAGGATACTATAAAAGACTGTTTCTATAATTAATAATTACACTTCTCGGTATCTGTGATTCGTCTGTAAATAATATCTTACAGCACATATGTAGGGCTCAGGCATAAGTTGCTGGCTCGGTGATTCAGAGCGCTCGTCTTTCACTAAGGAGATCCGGGTTCGATTCCAGGACAATCTCATGTGAAAATTGTTCCGACAAGCTGAGTTTGGCTGCTCAACAAGGGCTAGTCCAACCACTGTGAAGTGTCCTAAACCCTACCATTTTCCTGATTCCTTCCCAATTCTGGCCGCTGGGTAGTGACGCAGGAGTGCGCGAGAGAGGCGCGTACGCAGAATGCTATCTGGCGGTCCTCTTAACGACTGACTTAAACGAGACTGGATAGCAGACCAACAAATTAACGGAGGATTACTCCAAATAATAATAAAAATGTTAACGGAGTATTCCACGTAGCAAGAGCTCAACGCACTCCTAAGGGTTTAGAGACGCGTTGTGTCAGTATCAGACGCAACCATTTTTTTAAAAAAGTGCCTAAGAGTGATTTAAGAAAATTGAATTCAAAGGTGAGCGACTGTAGAAAATGCTGTGGAAGAATTTCCTTTCCAAAAAGGAACTCAGCGCTTCCTTTCCACCGCTGAAAAGCGGCAACTGCTTGAGCTATTGGAATACCATTTGTTCTCGAAAAAATAAAGTTAATACTTTACACTCCTACTAATAACTCTACATTCGCCAAAAATGCACTTGCACCCCTTGTATGAGGCGGCCGGTTCGGAATTCTATTGGTGGGGCCAGTTAGGGATGCGACATCGACAACAAAACATCGATGTTACGAATTATCGGTGTATAAAATTGAAACATTAATGTTAATAAAGCATCGATCAAAAATCATCTATGCTTCTACACATCGATGCGATGATTTAAAACTGGTTTAGTAATCTCTAAAATAAAAAACGTTGGCAACAAAATTTAATTTTACAGATAGTGCCAACAGGGTACTCTATCGAATAAAATAGCAACTACTGTGCCAGATCAATTTTGCATGCAAACCAACATAGCGTCCTTTATGCGGCGTTAAATGAGCAGGGACGGTCGCGTCAACTATTAGGGTCATTAGTCCCGTAAGTGTAGTGCATGGTTTTGCTCGGGAGGCGGCTGTGGTCTTCCTCCGCTGGATGGCGAGATCCGGCGCCGACCTACCATCGGCTAGCAGGGCTTTCCCTAACCTGGTATCTCCCAGCAGGGACACGCTCTAAGATATATACATAGAGCTCACTGGCCGAAACGGACCTCTGTCCTCTATGTTGCCATTTCTCCGTCGCATAGCGAAGAAGATGTAAAGGCCGAACAGGCCCGACGCAGCAGCGAGCATGTGCGACCAGTCTCGCAACTACCTTACGTCGGTAAAGTTGATAGGATTTTTCATCTCATGAGGGTTATTGTGCAACTGGTACAATACAGTAAAAGCGAACAGACATGTCCTCTTTCTTCTAGAAAGGAAATGAAGGAAATAGTGTAAGAGCAATGATTTACGCTCGTATGCAGAAATTGTGTGTGTTAAATGGAAAGACAATGGTGTCACTATTGCCACTAATAACGATGGAAACGAAAAGGTATGATATGCGAGGTGGTCGAATGAGAAAAAAAGGATAAATTAATGATCACAACCTGTAGTTTTTTTAATTCGTACAATAAAGGAATGGGTTGCGTGGACTTGATGGACGAAAATGGTATTGGCCTATAGTTGCATATTTTTTTGGATACTTCTGTTGTGATTGTCTGGCTACTGATTAAAACTAGTGGTTCTACAACAGCACATACTTTCTCGCAATATTACAATGTTATCGTTATGTATGCCAGGACGCCATATATGCTTGATTAATTTCAAACAGAAAGTTCGTGAAAACTACTCACTTTTACCAAATGTTCATATTTTTTTAAATAGCTAATCTTGTACAAGAGACTTTTTTTGGGGTAATTTTGAAAATCTAGCAATACCCGAAATGGGACGAGCACCATATTTTTTTACCGTCACTTATTTCATAAGTGGACACAATTTAAAGAAACAATTTGGAGCAGTTTTTGAAAACATACGTTAATTTGAAGGGCAAATTCGGCAAAAAACTACTATTTTTCATAAAATTCTACATGACATTTTTTAAAAAAGTTATTTTTGTACTGCAAAACTTTGTCTGAGGCAAAATTCTCTTTCTTCAATTTTGTAGTTTTAAAATTGTTTTTTGCAATTTTCGAGAAATCAGGGATTTCACGAAATGAAACCTGCACCATTCTCTTAATCGTCCTTCAACAACAAATGTAATAAAAAAATTGGAGCAATGTTTTTGAAAATGTCCGTGGGACTTCATGTAAAGTCACCCCAAAAATTAAAATATGGGTTTCAAATTCCAGGGGCCGCGACATCAGCCAGAACATTTGGGGAATATCCATTTTGGAGACATGCGGCCGAATGGTTTATGCTCTAGCATTGTGCACAGACAGACCGATGTTTTCTTGTCAATCGATTTTTCGATATGAAGGACGCACAAAACATGGTTATGGCTACAAATGTTAGAGGACTTTTTTTCTATTTTAGCAACTGGATTTATTCACTTTTTTCGTTACAGGGCTTGGCAATAAGAGTTTTTGTGTCGAAAATTCGGCCGTTTCAGGCGAAAACTATTACAATACGTCTATTTAATAAGTGCTAGAAAGAAGGTGTTATTAAGTTCAGAAGTGATATCTGTCCTCAGCATGTTGAAAATGCAGAACATAATCAAGAAGAGGAAAAACAAAACAAATGCATCTATTTTGACGGCAAAAACCTCGGGAATAGATTTCTGTTTCTACAGAAAATAAATATTTCCACTGCAGCCATGGTAAACCCAAAATTCATGTGCGCAAAAATGTGTGGTGTGGATTGCATCCCAACATGCTTTCAAAAGACTATCATGCATATTAGAATATGAAAGAAAAGATTCCAGTGTATTTTTATGAATAAACATGTTTTTTCGAATTGAATACTTTCAGTTTATTTGTTCCAGTAACATAATAAATATACCAATAAATTGATCTAGACATCAAAATGGATCAAGGTATTTAAGAATTTAGCTAATTATTTCTAGAGTAATAAAATCTTCATTACACAAGAATTTCAACAAGTGTCCAATTGTTACTGAAAACATAACCGGGGCAGCCTGACAGCTCCCTTAGAGCATGTCATCCTTTTATTGCGTGTAATCCAATTTATCGATCACTTTTTTTTTTTTTTTGTTTTTTTTTTTTTTTTTTTTTTTTTTTTTTTTTTTTTTGTAAATGGAGGAAAATTAAAATCTTGATAATCCACATTAATATAGTCATTAGATGAATAATATACCGGTTACCAATTTTCCCCCCCAAATTAAGTTGGAAACGTCATGCCACTAACGGTTAACCCACTCTTCAGGCAGTTGTATACAAAAAACTGAAGTCCAACAATTATAGCGAAAAATTAATTGAAATGTAATTTGAGAATTGCCACAGTTAGATTTTTTGGTGTATGCTTGTAAATATTAATAACAGTATTTTGTATTTCCAAATGGTTGTTTTGCAAGTAATTATAGCCATCTAAGACTTCCTTGAAGAGCCTTATAATGCAATGCATTCAAAAAAACTAATTATTACCTTCAAAATAAAATACAAAGAACACACAAATTAAATAAATATAATTTTATGAAATTGGATGTATGTGTACAAACTTCTGTACTAAAGTAACATTACGAAGTTGCTTTGGTCTCTTCCTTACATTGATTCATGATTTTTACTATGTAAAGTTTCATGATTTATTCTAACTAAAGAGACACACTTCACCACAGCTTCTACAACATAAAAGAAAATGTAAATACATAAGGAATTCAAATGACTGGCATTATATGTGTATAATATCTACAAACTTCGTCAGTTTCATTATTACTCTTTGAATTATACTCTTCCTTACTCCACAATTTCCCTAACTTCACCAGGTTTTCTAAGTGGTAATAACTGTTGACATGATTTAGACGTTGTAGTACACTCCTTCAATTTGTTACTTCATCCATGACTTCATCAGGCAAGCTTTCTCTAAGTTCTTGGGCAACTTGCTCAAATTCTACATCTAAACATTGTGGAGCGTTTGATTGTTTCTGACTATGCCACATTCTACCGCCACGTTTCCCCTTGCCACGAAACACATTTTTCGCAGGTCTCTTGGCTTCACTGTGATGCCCATCCTGTTGCATGTCAACATCGGTCACTTCTACGTTTGCTTTCTTCTTATGCTTTTTAACATTTCCTTTCTGCTTCCATGAACTGTCAAATCGAAAGTCATGAGGAAATTTGTGCAGAGATATACAATGGTCTCTCCGATCTTTTGGAGTGGAAAATTTTTCCCCACATTCTTCAACATAGCACTGATACTAAAAGAAGAAAATGAATTAAATGTTAGAAATATGTGATTTTTTGATAACATGAAAGAAATTTGAAAACTTGAAGGTGTATTCAGGTGAACATAAGGGCACAACCAATTCAAAATGTATTATATCTAAAATTTAGCATATTTCTTAAGGACCAGGAGAAATTTTTGAATTATCCCTTGTTTGAGGCTTTCTTACTGAAGTAAGTATTAAATACTAACTTCACATTGGTAAATTTTCCTAGCGCACAATTCAAAATGTGATTTAGGTATAATTTAGTCAATCAGCAAGTTGACTCCTAGATATTTTCCAATATTTATAAAAATTCCAAACATGGTAGAAATATTTAAACTTTGTTTAGGAGTGAAGCAAATCACTAATTTTAATTATCAAATTTTTTGTGCTAAGTATAAAGGCCAGGTAGGTTCAGAATTTAATTTAAAAAAAGAAATCATACATAGTTAATGGAATATTAAAAATCTATTATTAAAAAAAACAAGTATTACCCCACTGTTTTGTGTTCCCAGAATATTAAACATCTATTATTAAAACAAGAAGTATTACCCCACTGTGTTGTTAAAGTTGGTATGCAAAATTGCAAATTTTCTTTTCTTTTCTTCCTGTCCCATCGAAGGTAACTTTTGTATGTGAGAGCCCAAATAATTTCAGAAAACTGACTGGCAGAATTATTTTTTGTAGAAATGATTTAAATATAAGACAATTTTGCAGGAAATTGATTCTGAAAATTTTATTTCTCAGATTACTGCTAAAATTGACGAAGTTCATTTGTTACAAGAGAGTCACAAATCTGAACTAATTGGGACTGTAGATAGTTCAGATTTTCAAAAATCAAGTTTTTAGTCTGTTTGAAAGCAATTTTAACCATCTAGATGGCATGAATTGAAAATACCAGCTCTAACGAAATCTCAATTATGTATATGTAATATGAAAATAAATTACAATACAGTAATGTTGGGCATTCTATTGACAGGTGCAGAGAACATGGCAAAAGCTTATGAATTTGTTTTTTACTTTGGGGGTATTCTGATTTTTGATGGTTCAGATTTTTGACATTTGAATTATTGATGCTTCAAATATTTAATGTTATTTATGATGTACACTGATAAGAAGAAAACTCTCTTAAAGGCAAGTGTCTGGGTGGAAGTGGGGATGTGAGTGTCTGTTTGAGTATGTTTCTCTGTAGACACCCACAGGTGACAAAATCACACAAAATCCAAAGGAGGAAATTTTAATACTCAATAGAATGAAAAGAGATAGGAACCATTTACCTACACCGATTTTCAGAACTCTTCCTCACAATATAAATAGTTATACGAATAAACTAGTCATAATGGATTACAACAATTACTAGTCATACTACAAATTAAAGAAAAGTTGAAAAAAATTTAAGTAACTTCAAATGTGGCTTGCCATTAAGTCTGGGGTTGTGAAGTGTGTCAAAATGTCAGGCAGAGCAGGGCAATGCTGTGTGCTGCTTTGTGGTAAAATGCTGACAAAACTGTTATTAATTGTTAGTGTTATTCTAATGTTCATATTATTTTACTTTGTTCAATTTTTGCCACCAAGGCATACGCAATTACAGTTAAATAAATCCTCTCACTGTAACTTAATAGGTTCAACCAGCATGTAGTTTTAGGGTTCATACCATAGGCATTCGTTCAGACTGAACTTGAAAGAATGAATCATGACTTTCTGCAACATGAAGATCCAAGAGATGCGCAGATGGGAGCTGCTTCTTGCACACAGAGCATGGATAGCGATGGAGACTGTTATAGTGCATTTCAAAATCCATCAACGACTCAAACACTGCACAGCAGCCTGGAATATGACACGGGAAAGCTGGCACCCTGGAAACAAAACATTTACTCACTCATGAATTACTCCAATGTGATGTCTGTACATATTTAACTGTGTAAATCAACAAAGGATGTTAGGTTTTAACAATGGGCAGAGTAATACTATAAATTTTAATAAAATTGAATCAATATTTAAGTAACTCCAGTTAAGACCTGCTGTTAAGTCTGGGATTGTGAAGTGCGTCAAAATGTGGGGCAGTGCAAAGCAGGGATGTAAGCTTTTCTTTATGCAAGTTTCTTTTTTTCACGCTGCAACTCAAACAGCACAGATTTCCATAAGTGAGGAACGCCATATGACTCTCGTGTGAAGTACAGAACGACTATTAAAATTCTTTTGGCAGCAAACCTCTGCAACTTAAGTGATAAGACAGTTTAATGTGAGAGGTAGATATAGACCCAGAATACATTAGATCTCAAGTAAAATACAACATGGCTTAAGGGTTGTTGGTATTTTCATTGCAGTCAGATTTTAGTTACATCTTGGTTGTTTTCTTTATTGCTTTAAGATGTTATATATTTTAATTATTTTATTATATTAATATTATCATTATGTTATTATGTCAGTCCTAATCCTGTAAGATTATCTCTATGACTTAAATTCTATGATTAGAATCTTTAGAGCCATGTTGAAAACTGTACCCACTTTAAATAATGAGACATGGTAGGTTTTGTTATAAAGCTTCACAACTCTTTTTGCACTTAAATGAACTGTTAGCTTGTATCTTGATACTACACCGGCAAAAATTAAAGGATATGCATAAAAATGAGAAAATGCAATGACTGTATCAAAGCATTATCGTTGTAATGAATCTTGGATAATTAAGGATCCATTTGATGCAAAATAGTCTGTGGTGTTAATCTACTCACTTCCAAGACCTGAGGTAAGATTGTAAAAGAATATTCAAAGCCATTGTTTCTCTTTCACTAAATATTTTGAACGTACAAGCTTTTCATACCTTATAATTTAGAACTTTTTATTACTTTGTTTTGTAATATATTTTTACAATAACATTAGATTTTAACATATTCAGCAATAACTAGAATTCCGGAGAAATATATAACGAAGTGAGAGAGATATTAATCTGTTACAGATAAAATAAATTTAGAATGACTGTACATGGTCATAGATAAAATTAAACTTAGAATGTCATAACATTCCTTAATTTTTCTTGGTCATTCATTTGCAGTCGAGTTGTTATGAAATAAATTGAAAAATTGAAATAATTTACACCTCAATGAGGTATGGACTTAATACATCTGGTGATATTTTGATATTGTAATTGAAATAGAATGGGTATTTATTCAATAAAGATATTTTCTAAACATTATCCAGGCATTTCCCAAAACATGTAAAAACACCCAAGTGACTCGCACTTTAAAACTTTGGATAAAGAAAAGATTATCACATAAAAATCATTACAAAAATACATTGTGAAAAATATAAAAACAAACAAATAATTAAATAAATTTAATTGCATCCTGCTTACCACAGATGGTTTGGAAGCTATGAACTTTGCCACAATCATGTGAATAAGAAATTAAATTAAAAAGTAATTGAACTGAGGAAGAGAAAGAGGGAAAGAAGGAAATGAAGATCAAGAAAAAAATAATGACGGAGAAAGTGGGAAGAACAAGAAGGTACTGGGAAATGAACTGTGATTTCAATGTTTCACTAGATCTAATAAGAATAGATGAATAGTTGAGAGTTGAATTGCATTTTTAAAATAAAAAAATCTGAAATCTACAAACTTCTGAAAATCAAAATTTTAAGTTTTAACAACTGAAATTAGAATTCCAAAACTTTACTGACATATTTAATAGACAAAAAGTATCAAATCGTATAAAATACATTATTGTAACAATAAGCAATCTTTAAGGGGGACGCCAAATTTCAGTGTTATGTGAATCTCTATGTTTCTTAATTCTGCCTGGGTCTCTTTCACAAATAGGGCCTACCACATGGTGACATATGTGTACATGTTATTTCTCACAATTGAAGGTTAGTAGCACTTGGTCTCAGAGCAACACAGAAACAATAGTTGCATTAAAAAGTTACTCCAAAGAACTTATTGAATTTTTAAGTCGTAAAATAAAATTAAGATGGTAATAAATTACATTTCAGAGACAGATTGCTTTCTCTTCTTAGCAATTGCAATTAAATTGTAGTTACTTACCCTCAAAAATAGGTAAAATAAAAACATCTGCATTTGTAATGATTAGAATTTACTTATAAATATTCTTACCCCTGATGGCACAGTTCCTCTTCATCTATATCGTACACTCCCTGTCTCTCAGTAGCTTTACAGACTTCATCTCCAGCAACAAAAAATGGATCAGTGGGATGACGACGCCCTTGCCCAAGTGCAGTTAACTGCTCGATTAATGACCCCATCAAAATCTTGAAAGAAAGTTAAAACATGAGTTTTCTATAATTACTTACCACAGTTTCAATTGGTATTGCATTCACATCCTACTTGTTACAATATTTAATGGCATATATTTATCATATTTATCAATGAGTTGATAGTTCAAGAAGTGTAATATAACAACCCATAATTAAAATAAAATTTCTAATAAACAGTATATCAAGATGGTAAATTATTTGCAAAAGAAGGATGTTCAGGAGTGTGTGACAATAAACTAGAAGAAAAGTTTAACTTACAAAAGGTTATATACCTGTTTAATAATAAACAGAAATTTCTACGACAGCTAAAATTTTTATGGCACTATTCGAAGAACAAACTACACAATTTATCTCGTTACACAAAGACCGGCGCCCACAATACCACTCTACAATATTTACAATTTTACCGATCCCAATCGTTTTGAAAGTTGTCACCCCGAAACAACTGCAAAACGATTCATGCGCAACAACATTGTATTTTTTTATTTACCGAGCGCGTGCGAATTGAAAATGTTGAAAGTTAATGGTTATGATCTGCTAATGATGACAGATGAAGTTTGCGCGAAAATAGTACATAATTTACTCATGCATGGAACTGTTGGGATTGTTAAGGTACGTCAGAGGTATATTGGGTATATTTAAGAAGCGTACGTACGCAAGTTATTTTAGGCGATTCGCTACCAACTGCTTTCTGTTTATTTAAGTGAAGTTGCGCCATACAATTTACTGTGCATGGGAACCAGAGAGTCAGTGTGGGACTCGAGGGTAGTTAATACGGTTAATTGGATCGTGCACTGTGAGCCCATGAACTGGAGCGTGTATCTGTAAGGTTAGAGCTACTGATTATTAAGATTGGAAGGAACATGTCCCGACTGCCGTCAGTGAAATTAGGTGTGGCGTACTTGGGAGCGGTGTTGTCTGTAGCGGTTGTAGTGCAATTAGTGAAGTTTATATCTTATATTCCTGCAAGTGCCACGCCCCTACCAGGTTGTTGTTATTGAGTTCATTGACCTGCCCTTTTAGAAAAGTTTTCAGGATGTTTTTTATCGAAATATTTTTTTTACAGATGAACCAAGTTCTCAAGAAAGACCAAGCACTGCATGGGTTGTGCTACATAATGTGTCATTGATATGCTGTTTTCTGTTCTTACATTCTGCTCTTGCTGATTCAGCGGTAAAGAGCTTCTTTGAAAGATGGGGGCTTCGAGATCAACAGCGGAGCATTTATGTTATTGTGACTTGCATATCTCTCCAGGTATGTAAATTTTTCTAAATGCAATGATATTTCAAAATTTGAGGGAACCAATTAAGAAAATGCAGAAGAATTTGGATTCTTGAATGGTGATAACTTGATTCCTTCATATTTTTAATTTGAGGTATTTGCCTTCCCCTTCTTTATGAACACAGATACAATATCAAACTTTATTATGTTGCACTCAGTAAAATCCAAATGTTGAAGTTGGTACTTATTTTCAATATTTTGACTTTAATATTTCCAAAGAAAATGCAAACGTGTTAACCTATACAATAATTTTACATTTAAATTGAATGTTCAAAATCACTGGCCTGTTGGATTTATCAACTTTACATCATGTTTTTGTTTTTCTAGTTTCTCTTGTATTCATGGCAACCTACTCCATGGTTTGTTCTGTGGAATTTGAATATTAGTAGCAATCATTGGTTGTGGTGGATGTATACTATACTTCATGTGTACATCTGGATCTTGGTGTATGCAGGGAACCTGATGTTGGATGTGCCCGAATTACTTGGTATTAAGCAGGTAAATGAATTGCATGAACAGAAAAATAGTAAACATTAAAACTTTTTCCTTAATATTCATTTTCATTGATCAGCTGTACATTTTTGCATGCAAGAAAAATTACCATAAACTTTATAGAAAATAAATAAAATCTAAGGTATTTATAGTGTATAAATATGGGGGATACGAATTGCAATGAGTAATAATTAAGAGTACAGCTCTTATTCAAAAACAGCCTTTACACTAATGCAATGATAATGATTTTGCTGATATTTTGTTTTAATTTTAGGTGTAACACCTCATTGATAATAGATATATAATTAAAATTCATTTGTGTCAATGAGCTACTATATTTCATATTGTTCCCACTAGAAATCTAATTTTATAACCAGTGCAATTTTATTATGAAAGTAATTTTACAACCAATACATTTTGACACAAAAGTGGTCTGCAAAGCTAGTGTATATTGTTACTGTGATGGCCTTCAGGCCCTTGCTCTCGTCTCCTGGTTTGTGCCTTCTCTGTTGCTCCAGTGCTCATGCTGTTTTATAAACCTCCCTCCCTTTTAAGAGAATTTCACGAGTAGTGAATCATAAAAGGAACTAAAAGAACCATGCCACCCTGGTGCCATCTTAAACTTTCAATCAACCACATAATCTATTAAAAGTCTGCAATTACAAATGATGACAACAGCACACAAATAAAGTTGGACTTTGTCTGTACAAAAAACATGAAGGGTCCACAATTCGTGGCCACTCAACCCCAAAACAGCTGGTGAAAACAACACATTTCCAATCAGTGGCAGCTTGTGGAGAAGTGTCAGTGTACCATGGCACCACCAATGAAAGGGACTATCACCAAGGGAAGGAAAAAACAATTTTCAACCTAAATATGTTTATAAAATGATGTTTCTTCAAAATATTTTTTTTATATAAACAATTCATTTGAATGAGTGTTTAGTTCTTTGATGCCCAATCAATACTTTCTACAAACACTAAGGGCGAGGTGCTATCTGCCGGCCTTTTTCTGAACTGCTGAGCAACCTAGGGATTGGTTCTGTTCCTGCCCGTTTAATGCGCGTTGGTTAGTGCGTGCCTCTGATGGATGAAATGCAGTGAAAATCAAACTGGTACAGTAGTTTACATTCTGCCCCACAGAGTGCAGTAATGCCAGGAATATGGTCTAACCTGTTGAGATGACTGTGGGTACTCAGGCTGAGTATTTTTATTTGTTCTTATTATTTTGTTTGTTTTTAAATATTATACATTTATATACACTTTCACAGTAAAGTTGTTGCCACTGAAATTTTGTTGCTCATAAAATTGTTAGAGATTATTAAACCAGCTTTAAAACATTGATGGTTTATGATCAATGTTTTGTTGGTACCAATACCACTGCACCACCAATAGAATTCCGCACTGGTAGCCACTGATTCCAATCATGTAAGGAAGCAACCCACACACACAAGAAACAAAAGTGCTTATCACCTTTTTCACTCCCTAGAGCCAAGGCCAGTTTCTCCTGGCTCTCAGTGACAGTGGGCAGCAGGAATGCTATGAGAAATTAAAGTGTGAAATTCATAGGTATGAGAAATAAAACGATCCATGTGTCTTGCTCCTACTTGATCTACACTGTGATGTTTCACTCGGACACAGTAGCTTGTGAGTTCAGGTACTAAATCATCTATTCAGGTAGCCTGTACTGACATTGGATAACGATAATAAAAGAATTGTATCAAGTATACAATATAGAGTTGAAGAAGTTTTCAAGGTGAATTATTTTGGCAGGCTGCTCTAATCATTCATTTCCATGGTTTCTTCAATCAAAAGCAGGTAAAAGCCAGAGCAGTACTGAATTTTCTTTCCTCATCCTTGACCCTCTGCTCCCGTTTCACACACATATACTTACACTTCGCGCATTCCAGGAGCTTAGAATGTGTTCTGGTTGGGGTGTTGCTCTGCTGGGAGAGATACCTGGATAAAAAAGCTCCTGGAGACAAAGCCAGATCTCACCAGAGCAGGGAAGGAACATTGTCACCATGACTATAACATGCATTCATGGGGCAAGTGACCAAAGAAATTCATGGGCTTAGAAGCATGAAATAACAAACACTGGCTGCAAATGTTAGAAAGGGCAAAAAGTGCTGAAAGTAGGAGTGTGCAAAGCTCAAAAGTCAATATTCACTCCCTGGGGTCAATAGAGGAGAGAATAATATTTTCACGAAAACACTGAAAAGACATGCATTTCCCGTGTTAATTTCGGTATGCAATATAGTAGATGAAAGGCCTGAGGCTTATCCTTGCTTGAAATATCAATTTAAGTGCTGATAAGATATTTTTTTGATTCTGGTACTGGAGTTTTGGTATCAGTACAACAAAACTGTTTCAATACTGATATTGTTAGCAGTGAAACAAAAAGTACCAATTCTCTAAATATGTTTTTCCACTTTGTGAAACTGCCTATGGTCTACTTTTTCATCTCTGTATGTTAATTAAGACTTATGCAGTAAAGTGCAGAAAGAAATGAAATCGATAGTAAATATATAAATTCATTCTTGAAATTTTTAAAAATCATTATCTTATATTTTAAAAACATTATTAAGTGGTTATTTGTTCTGATTTTAATTCATTCATAATTGAAATATAATTCATTACACGTGTGTTATAGGTCATCTATTCAAATGTTGAACTGCAGAATCCAGAAAACTACAAGTCTTCTTCACTTCAACGTCTTCGCAAACATATGAATCATACCAGCTTCCTTGGCTTTTCAATTCTGTTTTGGGTTTATCCACTCATGAGGTTAGTGATCATACATTCTGGGTGAACTTGTACTTTTCAGACAAGTTTTTTACCGACATCCAGCTATTAAATCTACTTATTTTCTTCAGTCGTCTTTATTTCTTTCAGAATCCCTACCACTTCTCTTTTATCAACATAGTTGAATAATGAGGAATAGAAAGCTACAAGTGGTGTTGCCAACATTTTATATTCAGAAACTGTCAATGCAAAAATGGTTTCCATTCTATGGGAAGGACAAAGTAGTTACAGAATTGACTTATAGTACCAGATTAAAGTGTGTGTGCATGCAGGTAGCACAAGGTTACTACTTTCTGGAAAACCAAAGAAACTCCAGGAATTTCAATGCTCTAGAAAATTCAGGAGAAAATCATGGAAAATACAGAAGAATCATTAGAATTTTGGAAAAATGTGAGGATTATTGAACTATGTATTTGTCCTCAAAAAATCTTAGTACAGCAGTATTTTTTGCTCAATTTTTATGTGGTGAGAAAATATTTTTAATTTGTATTTTTTCACAGCAAAAACTGAGAGTTGACCAACTGTACTATTCTAGCTTTAATATTTTTGTTAAGTATTGTGAAATTACAAATCTCGTCAGGAAAAAATTTTAAAATGCATCGGAAAACTGAGAAAAGAGGGAAATTCATTCTAGAATATGAGTGGCCACCCTGCTTTAGGGATAGATACAAAGGGGCCAAAGGGGCCATCCCCCGCCCCGCGGGTGTCCAAGCTAAAATTGGCTCCTGTGTGATTATTTTCTGGATCTACCCCTGGCTTTACACTGCTAAGACTCAGGTACAAGCCTCGAGGCATTTGTATTGGACAATGCAAGTCTTCTTTGCAGGGTTCTTCCTCATTATTACAGTATGGAGAAATATAATACAGTAAACTCTAGTTAGCACAAACTCGCTTAACACCGATTGCAATGTAACACAAACAACACTTCTGTCCTGGCTAGGGATTACGGTAATACGGACTTTTGTAATAATCGAATAACACAAGTGTTTCTAACACAAACTCTGATTATTTTGGTACGTTGGAATTCATGTTAATGAGGGTTTACTGTATTATGAAACAGCAAAATGTGTACGTAAATATGTAATGAAAATTATAAGAATATGTCGCATTTAAAATATCAAAATAAGTTCTTATTTACAGATCATTTACGAACATACAAAATGAATTCACACAATTTAAAATTACATTAACTAAATATTTATTAGCGCAGTTTAACTACAAATATTGGTTGACCTACTGAATAAAATTTTTTCAAGAGTACATTTTATGTTCAAGAGCATTAAAGTCCTCCTAAAAAGATGACACCTCAGCGACCAGTAAACATTAACTGTAGTATTTTCTTTGTAGTGTTTCACAACAATAGAGACAACCGTTATCGTTTGTAAATTGGTTTGACTCGAGAAACACAAGGTCACTTTCCACACCTAAATATGATATGTGCTCACTTCTGCAGTACTGGAGACAGACCATGTGCATCTGACTGGGTCTTCATGTAGGGCACCATGCCTCATCAATATGCAATAGTGAAAATGTCAGAAAAAATGCATATTTTTGAAGTAAAAACTATTTTTGAAAAAGTCATTAAATTTCTTTGCAAAATAAATTTTAAGAAATTTTGTAGAAAAACACAAATTTTGCAAAAACGTAAAATATGTAACATAGTAAAAAATATGTAAAAATACATAGCAAAAACTTTGTTTAACGCAATCAAATTGCACTGAACATACAAAGACTAAACATATAAATATGTAACGACATACAAATCCTGCCTCAACTGATGCTGTCGTCTTCTGTTAGATCACTCATTGCCTCGGTGACATTAGCTGTTGAAGGACCTTAATTAAAGAATAAGTACATTTCACTGAAGACTCTCATTACGACTGCTGAAATGTTGGCAACACTGCCTAAGCCTCCTGATCAATCCAAAATTTTGTTTAAACGTTGTTTTCTGAACCATGAACAAGTTGGTATGAGAACTGTTGTAGGCTTACGTTAGGACAAAATTTCATTCAATATTGAACAGATTTCATCCATGTAGTCTGGTTACATTGTGCATTATTGTCAGAAAATAAAAATTTCTAATTTCAATGGCTAATATATAAATGTAAATTATGAACATAATAGCAATTTCTCATTTGTTAAAGATACCTAAAGCGATTTGTGTCTGTTTTCAGATTGGACAGAGTTATATTTGCCGTTCTCTTGCAGTTATACATGGTAATCAACTGGAATCCTGACTCGCAGGACTTGAAATACATGAAAGAGCAGTTTGAGCACAAGAAAATTGAAGTGAAATGACTTGCAATATTTGTGAGCAACTAACATGACATAATACTTCTATAATATTGTATTTTTAAATACCAATGAAACATGTTTATTTTGATGTTATATGGGAACCAGGTGATAATGCTGACAAATTCTAATTATTGTTTGTACAAGTTACTTTACGAGTCATATTAGCATTATATTTTCTTAATGGTAATGGATTGTGATTTCCATAATCTTCATAATGGATTATGAGGTGTGATTATTTTCTGGGAGATGTGCAATTTATCTGCTCAGATTATTTTTGTAACCTTAGATCTTTTATAATCCAAAATGTGACAAAAGGCTCATTTTTAATGTTGCAATTAGACTGTTTTTCTTTTCTTCTTTTTTGGAAATATTTGGCTTTTCCATGAGACTGACTTAAAATGAAATTTTTGAATTATTATATTTCATTTAAATACTATGTGAAAATATAGTAATTCAGTTGAACAGAACAGTATCACAATGCAAAACTTAAACAATACTATAGATTTACCACATTGTAAAAACTTTGGGCAAAACACATTCCGGGAGGCTTAGGAGATCTTCTGTGTTCTACTGTATGCCCATCACCAGACTAAAAAATATCCACAATTAGTATACTGAGGTAGTACGATCATAAAGATTTATTCATTATCAGAACAATATGCTTTGCTTTTGTGCTACATTACTACGAATACTTAAAGATCAAATATACTACTTCAGTTTCATGATGCCATGCTTCACCATCATACAATGTATATAAAATAGTAATTTCGGTGTATAGAAGTCCGTCCATATAAGTTTTTCATCTGTGTGTTCTGGACACATCCAATTTAATTTTTTTTATGCTTTGGCACATTCCCCCTTTCCAGTTTAAAGTATTCAATAATTCATACTGAAATAGCATTTAAGTGTAGTAGTATGCTAGCATTAGAAGTGTTGCTCATTGGTTAGGAGACTGTGATCTCCACATATCATGACACTTAATCTTTAAAACAGTGAAGATAGCATTAGATAGAACACTACTATAAGCATGGATCTAATGTTCTGTTAATTTTTGTGTGTAAAGAGAGAATGTGATAAGAGATGTAGGTCAGCACATAGTCTTTCTAAAGCATTTCCAGATTTCTGTGGAGAGCTATTGTCAATTACAATAATTCTGTTTCAGTACAGTCTTTCTAATGGATCATAAAAAATTTCATTTTATTGATTTAGGTTTTTGATTTTGATCATGCTTATATCTTGAGCTGTTAGCGAATTGTTTTTAAATCTATGAAGTATGTTTGTTCCAAAAATCTGATATTAGCTGTGAAGTGCAAATTGAAATGTGCAATATTCCCAGATATTCGCTGAGTCATTTTCTTTAAATTTTGTTGTTTCATACCTCATATTCCATTATTGTAATTCTCATATTAATATACATATATTTTATATTTATTAACTTGTGTTCATTAATACCATTGATGTGTTTACTATTCAGTATTGGAAACTGTTAACTAGTCATGTAAAATTAAGTCTCGAATAACGGCAGCAATTTGAGTTATTTCACCTAGTTTGTTTGTGTTTTTCTCTCTCTTGGAAGTGTCAGCTGCTTTTTGTCTAAAATACATGACAAACAAAAAGTATCAAATTCAGTTCTAGCTAGTCATGAAATACCTATATAGGTCCTAATTGCAGTGCAAAGTATTTACACAGCACCAGAAACAAGAAGTCTGATAGAATTTATATTGTAGCTGGGTTCAATTCTGTGCCTTCCTATGCCTTAACTGAGACTTTCAATCTCTTACAATAGTTAAAGTTGTAATATAACGTAACCAATTGTCTCCCAGTTTTATTTATTAGTGATTTTATATAGCAAAAACCAAACTGGAACATAATAAACTTACTACAAAGTCAATTAACCCTTCAATACAGATTGTTTCCCATCTGATTGCAGGAATCCGTACCTCCATATTAAGGGATTTTCCTAGGTCATACAGAATGTCATATGGAAATAAAAGATCACCTTAACAGTCAGTGAGCTGACTATTACTCGTGCAACTTTTTTGAACGATGGATTGAAGAAATGCTGGTAGAGTGGGGGTATTAGTTACGAAATTGGCCACTAGATTTTATGTAGAACTGCCAATCTCTGTAGAATTAGTCATGCCTTCGCAACGTTCTCAATAATTTGCATTCTAACTTTTTTAGGAGTTCGAGGTATCTCCTGGGATAAATCTTTACCTGCTTCGGTCATTTCTTTAAATTTTTTTTAGAAAATAAGGGATAGAAGTTCTTGCCTTTAAAAGAAAATTGTTTCTATTTCACGCCAGTAAAGATGTTTGAAATGTCATCAGTGCTCTCTGCGAGCTATTGTCTTCAACTGTTTATTGTGCCAGAGAGGGTAAAGCAAGATCATTGTTGAAGAAAAGTTGCGCGAGTAATACCTACAAAGCTCCTTTCCCTTCTTTTACATTGGTATGATACCAAGTCCATCCTACAATCTACGTTGAATTAAAACAAAATTCATAAAGGGTAGAAAAAATTATCATTATAAACATTTGAAAAGTTTTATTATTTATAGAGTTGAATGTCCAAAAGTAGTTGGTACCATTGCTAAGACATATTTGTACTGCTTTAAGACTTGCTGTTAATCATAGACTTTGTATACTGCTTACAGAAAATTTCTGTACAAATTGTACTACCAGAATTAATTCAGTTACTGCTGTTCCATTTCATGAAATTCTACTGTTTCATTATGTTTTTGTTTAGATATTGTCTTCCTAACAGAATTTAAACGAAATGAATCTATATAATATTTTATGTATGATTCCATCCATAACAAAGGGCATCTTTGCATGTTGTCTGACTGACATAAAAATGCTGGTTGTTTAACCTTGAGTCATAAATATTGTAACATTCCATGTTGTAGAAGCAATTTGAATATTCAAGTAATCATTATTGGAAAATTGAAATCATGTTATATATATTTATCTAATTTATTTCTGCCACAAAGCAATATATCTGTGCCGAACAAATTGTGATTAGCAAATCGCCTTTAAGATTTTCCAGAATTTTAATGACTATGCCTCTTAGAGGTTAATTTTATGCAGTTTTATGCAGGATGTTTTTATTTATTGGAATGTAGAGTACAAATAATTTATATGCCACTGTCATGTTATTTCACAGTGCCTTCTTTATGGAATAACAATGTATTATTTTTAATTTTCCTTTAAATAAAATTATGTACAAAAGTTTCTGATCTTATTATGAAATGATAAAGGCAAATTTCTCCAAGAGTACAACAGAAAACTCATATAAACGTATAAAACCCATCCTACATAGTAGAATCTTATGAGCTATCCTATCGAAAACTCAACCTAATTACAAATTATACACTTTCCCTTAATATGCTCAACATATATGGACATCAGTTACTCACCTCATTCTGCAACGTAGAGCAAACTTTTTGTTTATATTTATATACCAGTATATGTTATATAAACTAGTAGTTCCCATTGCCCCCAAAATTTGTTAACTTCTAGCAATGGGTTTAGCATTAAAACTTTCAAACACATGCATCAGATAATTCCAAAAATGGTCCTGCATAAATGGGCAGGACAACAATGGGTCTTGAGAATATCAAAAAAATCAAGTTAATCAAGAAATTGGAGACTTTCTTGGGGGGGGGGGTATCAGACAAGGCTGCCCCATCAGCTCCACGTTTTTAAACTTTGCAATCGATCGTATTCTCTGCTGGAACCTCAAGATTTCAGATTTTTGAAATATCAGGTAGAGCTGATGCTGATGACATCTGACTGGCAACATCTTCCCTGCCCATACAGACATGATCAACCCGATTTGGAAGCCACTTCATCAGAGGTGTCCAGAGAAAACCAGGGGCCTGAGGCATTTGATCTTGAGGGGGCCTTTTATTTCAAACACAAATCCCTCTTCCCCAATTCATTTGTTTTTTTCAAACATCAGAAATAACATATGGCATTCAATTTGGTTTAGATGTAAATATATTTTTCATTTCTTTTTAATTAATATTTTTTTCGGGGCCCCAAGTAAGTCGGTACCTGGAGCAAGTTGCACCTGCTCTTGCTTGGCATCGCACTTAATCCTGCGAAGAGAGACTTCCCGTGTGTAATAAAGAAGCTGGTGCGTCTGACGAACGACCACAGCCAAACGCCCTATCAGATCCATTCCAGCCAAAAAGACGATTTCTTGGAAAACCAGTGGAATTCTCTACCTTCCACCCTCTGGCCGAGATCCAGGACGTCTTGCAGCCGGCTGAACCTTCGACTTCGAACTGGCGGCTTTCCAGAAAGTAGACGGTCTTTTACCCTCTCGAGACTTTCCTTATTCTGTAGGATGCTAAGATGCACGTTCGCTGGCTGAGGGCTACCACGAAGGAAAAGTTAAGACTTCCAGACTGCTTCATAATGCTATCTCGCTCAAGAGCAGGGGTCTCCCGAATTCCATATGGATGCCTGGTTCGCTGACTTTGAGAGTGTCTTCAAATTCTTAACTTCACCCGACCCAGTCAACAGAAGGGCTGCTGACAGACACCTTAATCTTTTAGGGACGGGTTTTTTGGTTGTTTTTCCTTCCGAGGTCTTGGCGGTACGGTTTTTTTTTAAATTTAATACACGAATATGCTTGATCCCAGGGTATTTTAGCCTTAGTGAGTCTTGACGAGGACCAAAGCGGGCTAGTCTTGGGTAAGAACACAATGGCGCCGGGCAGTAAGCTAGAGAAAGGCGATGTATAATAGCTAAAGTTACTTAGATATTTGCATGGAAAAACAGCGACAGTTCATATGCTAATGCATAGAAATATTATGACTCTTCACATAATAATAATAAAATAATAATAATAATAATTATTATTATAATATGTAACAACTCCGTTTAGTAGTCCGTAATAATATGTGGCAACTCCGAATAGCTAGCCAAGACCAATGGAAATAGAAAACTAATGTGGGAAAGATTATGCCATTCTGTACCACCACTAGTTTCTTTCTCTATGCCTGCCGTTTATTTTTTCTCCTTTTAAGACAAAAATGATAGTGAATAACGTCTGTTTCTCTTTTTACTTTCCCATACACGTACGCATATACGGAGTAATATACGTAGTGTAGGGAAAGTTATGCAATGCTGTGGAAAATCGATTCCGAGATTTCAACGAAAATACGGTTTTGGGGTTCCTTGATGCCGAAAGTGTTTCTTTTTCTTTCATTTTTTTCTCTCCCCCCAGAGACAGACAGACAATACAAAATATGGTGCTAGTCATATTTTCGAGTATTGATCGGTTTTTGAAGAAAAAAAAAAGTTTAACTTCAAAATTGAAGATAGAGATTCAGTTGATGCCTTTAGCCACCTCTCCCAGTAGTCTGAATTTGACCTAAGCTCTTTAGTTAATGTCAAAAATCTGCCACCACTACGACTTGAATCCTAGAACCTCCTGGTCAGAGACATTGTAGTGACAACAGCTGATGCCCTGAGCTATCTCAGCCAATACTCCCCAATCTACACATGCCTGAAGGCACTGAATTTTTTCTTGTCATCTGTCAGTCAGTGCCGGAGCTAGATAATTTTGGGCCCAGGGTAATTCTGAAACATAGCACCCCCACAAATAAAAATGTGAAAGTTGTATCAAGAAGCTATAAGAGTTTGTTTCTTTTATTTCAACAAATAACAAAAATTACAATTTTCATAGTGAGCTTAAATCACTAAAAAAATGTGTTGTGTTCAGTTAGTGTTTAATAAAATCACATGAAATATTAAATATAAATATTACATTACAGTAGCCACAAGCCACGACCTAAAACATTGCTAGAAATGATCAACACAATGCTTTAAAAATGTTTTAAAATGCTCTAAAAATGTTTAAAAATGCTCTAAAAGGAAAGAAAATTTCCCCAAACATGTAATCAAAACCAGTTTAAATGAACAACTCTAGCTATTCAATATGTTACTGATGTAATTGAGGCTTCTTCCTTTCAAGTAAACTTTAGGTTTGAACTGTCCTTTACCAGGAAATCTCTATTTAGTAATCATGAAATTGGCCAAACTGACAATGGCACTGATAAGGGTCACAGAAGCTTGGATACTCATTACATACTCACAATGGCTGCCATAATTTTTGGGCAAAGAAATCGAATAGGTTACTCAGGAGAATATTTGGAGGTGGAGAATATTTGTTGCATTCTGTAAATTTTATTTGAAGCAAGTACCATTATAATGATATTAGAATCAATGAAATCAGCAAAAAATGCATAAATAATGAAGGTTATTTCCTTTTATCATAATATAAAATTAATGTATACACTAAAAGGCATTGTTCTAAAGTGAAGACATAAAAAAATTACATTTCATTATAAGTCAGCTCCCAAGTAATGACAGTACTAATCACTGAAAAATTAAAAATATGACCTTGAATTCACGATTTATGAAACAAATTAGGACAACTCATTAACCCATAATGAAATTAGCCAATTATTGTGATGGCAACAACTCATTTAAAGTTTGAAAGAAATCAACACGAGTGCTAGGCGGTTAGAACTGTGTTGAGTATATTACAAACGGTAAATGCTGCCTTATAAATATAAAGCGATTTTCAACAAACCCCTTCAGAAACATTTGTCTAAAATCAAAATTCGAAAGACAACCTCATATTATGTAGATGGAACTTTGTTTACCAACAAAAAAAATCTTTCTTTCTTTTTTTCAATAAAACAAGAGTTCACATAATACATAAAACAACATGTTTAGTTCACCTTTTTAATGTAATCAGATATGTCCATGTTGATTTAAAAAATTATAATTTATAGTATTGTATTTAATTGTACTTACAAGAAGCGCCTACCTAATTATGAAAGCAATATTTTTTATCACTAACTAAAATTAATAAAACTATAAAAAACAAGACAAGGGATTCAGAGGAATGAATTCAATGAAAGTTATTTGCAAGGTCAAAAAGCCAAAATAAAACCTTAACAGGACTAAGAATTACAAAAGAAAAGTTACGATTTCTAACAAAAGTAAGAAACTTTTATTTGTCCTCTGAATATTTTGCTTTACACACAATGACGTCATGCTACATGAATACAACTAATTAAATTCCAATAACACTTCGCTGAAATTACTTCCAGTAATTGAACTTCACACTTTTTAATTCGTGATCGTGTAGGAAATGGTGTAAGAACACCTTATCTAGCTAAGACTACAACAAAGCTATCCTTTCAATGAAATTCTTAGAGAATGATCTATACAAATGCTGATTAGAACGAGTTGCTTGAATATTTGTAGTCCTGCAAACAAAATAAAATGATTGTTAAACACTAGGAATCTCTAAAGGAAAATTTTGTTAGATAACAAAATTTTCAAATAAAAAAGAAAATGTAAAAAATGAAAAAGAATAATTTAATTATATTTCACTTAAATTTCTTTTAAATTCCTGACGATTTTGAGACAATTAATTGCTCAAAACAATTTGATACAAAAGATTTGCTCAAAACTGAAAGCTGTTCCATTAAAACAGCTTCTAATATTGTGATATTGATAATACTACTGTTTTTTTAACAGACACACTACAATTTTCTATTCACAGATATAAGGAAAGTGAAAAAACAGTAAAGCCAGTTATCACACCATATATTTATTAAATTCTATTGGAAACATCATTGGGATATCTGCCACATACTAGTTCAGGTTCAGTTCTGAAAGTGCAGATTTGATTTTTAACAATTAAAAGCAATCTGCTACACCAAATCAATTTCAAATTTCTCTGAACTCTCTGCTCTCAATTTTCACAGATGAAAACCACCTCAATATCTTAAATATTTAAAGAGAGACACAAGTAAAAATATTAAACTTTCCACAATGTTTTTGTGAAGAATAAAAATATTCACACACATTTAAAGCAAAAATTAATTCACATTCAAAACACATCAAAGTTGTCAAGAATGCAGATTGACAAACAATACTAAGATTCCTCTGCAGAACTTAAGCAAAACTTACAACATTTACAACCTTACTTACCCATGTTATGGTTTCATTTTCTATTAGCAACATTTGCCAGTTGGTCACGTATACGCCCTAAACCTTCTATCAGTGTATCGAGTGTCGGTCTCTGGAATTCTAATAACACTGTAGAAACGTTCGGATTTTCCTTAATATTAGTTGTATTCTCTTGAATCTGAAACATTGAATTCATAAACATTGTGCCTACTTCACAAATCATAAAATGATTTCATGAAGTCACTCCTAATTCAACCAACCTTCATTTGAAGAAGACAAGTGGCGTTGGTGTTACCTGGATCAGCTGTTGAAGTTTTAGAACAAGTTTGGCAAGAAAATTCCATAAGTTTTGGTGCTCCCACAGGTGTCATTGAATCCATCTCTACTGTCAAACAAATAAACCTTTTTGTATTTCTCTTATATCACGAAAACATTTAACAAATACGGCATTACATCACCCTCCCCCCCCAAAAAAAATATCCATAAAATCTATAAATTATCTAATACATGGTGATAAGGTGAACGAATGCAATATACTATAAATTTATTACGGACAAATGCACACCGCGCTCAAGTCCTGCTCAAGTCAGCCCCCTCGACGCCAATCAGCTGATAAGAAGAATGTGACTACTGCTGCCATCTTTTGGCGACGTGTTAACCTTTCAATTTTGGGACGTAAACAGTGACAGCTCGCAGAGAGAGCACCAGCACACCAATAGAAGTCATATGAAAATTTGTAGTAATTAGTTCAGGGCTATTGAAAAATTAACAGATATCGCCCAGCGTAGCATGATGCAGGAGGACTCGAACGGGGAGAGTACCTTCGAATTCGTTGATAAGAAATCGGACGATATGTCTAATTCCCTAGAAACAATGCCTAAAACAGGTGTGTCAATGTATTAATAGTTTCTTGTTTATAATTGAGAACATTCAGTGTGCCAAGTGTACAAAACGTTTTGAATGATACTTACTTGTTTATAATCCAGTATTTTGGTGCACTTTCAAATATTGAAGATTTGAAGAGTGAGAATTTGAAACTAATTAGTTCACTAAAATATTCGCTTAAAGCATCTATTTTGTACTTAAAATTCTAGAATATATGTTGCCTAAAACTCACGAGTATGAAGTGTTTTTATTGATTTTTCTTCTTCCAGATTCGTTGAGTAGTTTATCTTCATCATCTGTTTCTTTGGTGCCATCAGCAACTGGATTGGTTCCTACTGGAAGTTTGCTAACAAATGTGCCTCCTCCTTCTGCTCTTCCAAGCTTTGTGACATCAGAATCAAGTCCTCAACATTTTGCCAGTGCATCTTCAGTTACCTCACAGATCAGTAGTGCAAGTTACCAGCCTCCTGCTCCTAGCAGTCTTTCTCAACCTATATCAGCACCTCCTTTAGCATTCCATCAAACTCAGTTCTGGTAATAAAAGCAAGAACCTCCAAGTAATTTAAAGTTTTTGTGTTCTTAAATCGGAAATTTTTGTGAAAATGTATTTTAATCGAGCAAAGAAAAATGGAAATAGAGTGGAGGGATGACTAGTGTTAGGATTTTTAGAGACCATTTTCATTTCTAAAAAGAAAGGAAAAGTTCTGAAATATGATTAAAAAGGAAGGTAAAATGCCCAAAATAGAAGTAAATGTGGATCAAACTGTTATTAGAAATCAAATATCACATTGCAGAATAGATGTTAAGAAATGTGAGTAATAAAAATACAGATACAGCTGTAACACGTTACACATCAAAATCATTCATCTTGGGAACAAAAGAAAAGAATGCTGTTGTTCATCAAAACACTAAGCAACTTTTCTAAAATTCTTTTACAATTCTCTAATTCTCACATTAGCTAAAACTCAGCTAGCTCTCATATTCAAAGAATCAAAGGAGAAGATTATGGCAGGAAGGATGACAGTCCCAAAAGGGGGAGTAAAATATGTTGTAAAATTACTTCCATCCCCTGTAGGAGCCATTATTACATGGACTGGCATCTTTTAGAGATCTCTGATCACCAAAGAATGCACTAAAAAAGTTTCAACTTAAGTGATTATGTTTTGTGTAATAAATAGTTGTAGAATTTTTTAAGTTTTACTTTTTTGCCATAGACATTCAAAATTAAATGTGAACAAGTTTGATCACAGTACATCATCAGTGAACTACAATTAAAATGTTGAAAAACGTGTATTTAATTAACTCTTCGACTGTTTTTAAAATACATACACATTCTCTGAAGTGTTTTTTGACCCCAAATGTTTTACACAATAATTTACCAGTATTTCTTGTAGGATCGTTATTTGGAATTATTAATTGAGAAAACAATGGTATTTATTTGCTTTATTTACTACATTGTTCTAAATTACAAAGAATGTTATTTCCAGAAAAAAACATTCTAGCATATCCTCATTACTATTCATAGGTGTCTATCTTACGAATATTAGCATATTTAAAATAGGTTTACCATATTTATCAAATAGATAAATACACCAAATTATCACTCAGAAATTTCAACATAATATTACAAAACAGAAATGGACACTTTTGTGAATTTTCTTGTAATTTAGATGTCAAATGTGGCATTTTTTACTCCATTGTCATACAAATAAAATTATTTTAAACAAAGAAACAAACTTAAAAAACTGAAAAGATTACAAGATATGTAAAACTGAACGTAAATAGCATATCTAAAAGGAGAAGTTCATGTGAATAATTTTCAGAATGTTGTGAAACATTATTTGTCGCTGGGGTCAAAAAGACCCTAAAGAGTCTCATGGTTAATAGATCCAGAGCCTAAAAATGCCTAATTAGTATTATTGATGTTACAGGGATTAAACCCAAAAGCATTGCTAAGCAGAACATTGGACAAACTAAAATATAATACAAATCCCTGGATTCCGCTGCATCAAAAGAGAAAGGGACAATGTGTAAATTGAATGCAGGTCTTTAAATTTATTAGGAATTTTGTAATATATTGTAATGCCTACTACAATAGCACTTTTGTGAAAGAGGGTAGTTTCAGTATGATGGAATGTCAAATTAGAATTGTAGAATACTGTTTTATCTAAAATGATAATTATGAAGTTTTGCCTCGAGAGTAACAATCCTTGTTTCTGATAATGATTTTATTTGTGAAGATAACTATTTCAATTATGGGCATGCATGGGAGTGGTGTATGTTCTTGAACAGTGGTTTGCAGGATTCGTACTTTTGCTTTGTTCCCAATATTCATTTTTGGATTTTGAAATACGTCTGCTTTTTTTAATAGAGAGGGATTTTCTACAATTGTCATAAAAACAAACCAGGGAGATAGAGGGAAATAAAAAATCTAATAGTTTAGTAAATGTATTACTAATATCAAAGTATAAATGAATGTTCAAATTAATGAAAAATATATCTTATATTTGAATATTTTTTCAAATTCAAAACAAATATATTTAATTTAATCCTTTTTTTTAATTCAGAAAGAGAGGGTTCAAAATAATGCTTTTGTCTTCTGGTTAGGATATTTTTAAGTGGTATAGTTAATACCAAAGTGAGTTTTTAAAAAGTAAAATTGTGTTAATGTATTTTTTAAATCACCACAACTAATATGAATTATATATGTAAAATAATTTTCAAAGAAAATTCCATTTTATTAAATGCACTTCTTTAATATAAACTTTTGGTTTCTTATTTAATTATAACTTTTTAAAATTTTGTTTTGTTGCAAAAAAATTAAGTTAAATATTATTAATAAAATGAAATCTTATGAAATTGCTTGTTAAGCAAACATATTTGCATATTTTTTGTAACCACTGACTTGAAATAAGTTTTTGAATTTTTGGCGCTAAACTTCTCCTATTTACAATGAAACAATATCTATTAGTTTTAAAGACGATCAAAAGCATATTTTGCTTTAGCTTGTATTGAAGTTTTAAAACATAAAATCCTGACATTTCGTGAGCTGGTAAAATATGATATAATTTAAAAATCTATTATAGCATGTTACATGTATACTAAAACAATGTCACTGATAACAAAGGTGGTTTTAAAACATTAATATTTTAAAATTGGAGAAAAGTAAATATATTTTTTGAGCATATAACACATGGGGAGGAAAAAACATACCAATATAGTAATACAAAATACAAATAAATAATAAATTGGAATCCATTAAAGATTAAATTGAAATTGTTCAAGAAGAAATAATGTACCTAAGGAAATGAAAGTCAGAATGAGCCATGTCAGATTAAGAAAAATAGAGGCACATTTTTCACTCCCTAACGTCTAGATTAAATGATTTGGACCCAAATGAAACAAGGATGACGCAATTAAGGTAGCTAGAGAAAGGAAGAATAGGGTAAAGGATGGGGGGGTTAAAAGAGAATTTGTGAAAGGCAAGGAAAGCAAAGCAAAGACAGGAATAGAAACAGAAAGGAAGGACAAACAGAAGAGTAAGAAATTAAATGGACATTACTATGGGACAAAGTTAATAGGATTGAATCAATGCTAAACTAAGGACTTTTTTTTGTTCCCTTTCAAAAGAACATAGTCATATAGTATTTTATTAAAAAATTACACTCCTTGTTAGAATCATTCTTGTTTTTGATTTTTATGTGTAAAATTTTAAAGTTTGACCTTTCCATCTAAGGTTAGAATTTTAAGGTTTTTTTCCAACCATTGTTAAACTGGTTGTGAAACTTTGAAAAATTCACTTCACTTCACTTCACTTCAATGTCTAGTGGCTGCAGTCAGACTGCGCACTGACTCTTTCAACACACAATGCGTCACAGCCCTGAGTACTCACTGGTACCCTTGCATGGCCTTGAGCTTCTCATCTCTAGCCCCTAGGTTTACAATTCTCAATGTGTGTCAGGGTGACATGTGAATAGAAGTCATGCCCACACACGTTCCCGCATAGAGCCAGAAGGGAGGGAATTCTCCCGTGACCCTTTAGAGATAAGTGACCCCAAGGTCAAATTCTATCCTGATAGCTAAAGCCCCTCTCTTTCACTGTGCAGCTGCCATGACTAAATAGCATGTCACAGGGACAGAGAATTTAAAACAGACTTCCAGTTGCATTTATTCCATTAAAAACATCACTCACCTCTCTGCCAATTGCATTAAATACACAGAAATTCTGTTTTATAAAGGTTTTTTCTCCTGTCGGACACGAGAAACTGTTCTGTTTCCGTGTTGAACAGATTCCAATTTATGCTGCGTAAAATGCCATTTAACTTCATGAGCCAGAGACAGTTTCCAGTTAAGGCAGGTTCCTGGCATGTACAGGTTCTGGTTTAGATAGATGGTACTATGTATGGTTTGATTTAATAATTTTGTATGTCATTTGGCATTACAACCCTCACTCCGATTTTTTCTGTCAGCCCGGTGATCCCTGCGAGCAAAGGAGGCCCGCCACCTTCTTTGGCTGGAGCAGGTGGTAGTCCCGCCACTCCAGAAGTAGCTGTGGAAGCAGGTGAACAAGCAGGAGGTGACGGAAGCGCTGGGTTGTTTGGTTGGGTTCGCGGAGTTGCTGGTGGAGTTACCTCCAGCAATCTGCTCTCTCGAATGGCTGAAAAAGCGAGGAATTCTGTGGATTCAATGATCACAACGTTGGATCCTCAAATGAGAGAATTTCTTCGTAAGTGGTGGCTTTTTAAATTTTTTTATTTATAATCTGATGGACTTTCATCCAATATACAAATACAGAATAAAATGAAAAAAACAAGACTTGTGAATATCATGATAACATATTATAATAACTTGTAAAGAAAAATACAGATGTGTAATTCAGTAAAAAAACATTCTGCTGAGATCCAATTGTTGCAGCCTGACTCATTTATGATTATTGTAATAAGGTTATTTGCCTTGTAGGTATTTGTACAGATCACCTTCAAAAAAGTATCTTTATTTCTCAAGTAAATTGCTAGGACTCTAAAATTCAGTTCTTCAAGAAACAGTTGGCAATTAATTCCACTGTTTACTAACTTAACTTAAACTTAATGTTAAACACACTCAATTGATTATTTTTCATGTTTTGTCTCCATAATGTGTGTTGCACATGTAACATGTTGAAATTCTCATGTTGAAAAATGATTGGTGTAGCTTCAAAAACTGTTTGTTCTCTTTACTGGGCATGACGAAGCTACTTGGCATGTGAAATTTCTTTTTGGGAGGAGGGGGGAGGGCATTTGGTGAGCAGGAAATGATAAAGTGCCACCTCCGTAATAATAATTGGATTTTGAAAAATTGTATATTTCTATTTTTATCTAAGACCTGCAAAGTATGGAGTACATAAGTATAAGGTGGCAATGGTTACCAATTAATCATTGCTCTTTTGCATTTTGCAAGAATACAAAAGAGTGATGAATTAATTATTGATAATATTATGTTAAAAAGTTTAATATTGTTTTTGTTTAACTATTTGTTATTTATCAGCATCTTGTTCTCTGATTCAGTTATTTTGTTTTTTTCAGTCTGGGAAACTTTCCATGATGTAGTGATTAATTTAATTATCTATATTTTCTCTAAAAGAGCAAAATGTTTATAAATAAGTATTATATAAATGTACGTACAGTGGAAAGTTTTAGTTATGCCAAAGTTTTTATTGCTCTTCACCCATCCCTGATTTGCAATGTGACATCATACACAGAATCAATGTATTTTAAGCAAAATGTTTCATTTTATAAGCAATTTTTTAATTTGTATTTGTACAAAAAAACTTTTTGTGCTTGGGGATGTCACAGTACCTGGGCTTGGCCCTGATGGCGGTAGATGGGAGTGACATAAATCTGTCCCTAAGACCAGCGAGGTAGAGTAAATCCATTTGCCTACGTACTGCTGCATCACAAAAGCGTGTTGGCTAAAGAAACTCTTATCTCATTACATTCACTCCTCCAAGGCTTAACGATATGTATAAAAATATTTGAATATGAGAATAATTATTTATATTACAATATGACTTCAGATTAGACCATACATGCTAGTTGATTATTCAGAAATGTGATACAATAAGTGTAAAATTACCAATCAGCACAACATAATTATTTAGCCTCATGTAATAAGTAACATTTTATTTTTTTCTGATCACCTTCTCATACTTATACCTATATACCTATATACCTGTATACCTGTAGATTAATTGGTTATATTGTTTTTGGTAGTACCCTACATTGGATATAATAAACAATTGTTTTATCTGCAGCAGGAGGCTTTATCAAATTAGATATAATAATTTTCTGAACTCATAAAAAACAGTATATAAAGGTGATTTGAAAAAATAAAATATTTTTTATTATACTTATTTACAACATTTTGCAAATTAAAATTCTTCAGCAAAAGTTTTCCCTCAAATTTCCTAGTTATTTTATATGCATCCATCTTGTTCTTTTGTTTTTTGTCTAGGACATATCCCTGTGCATGTCTCTCAAAGGCCCCAACAGAGTACGTATTCATTTCCTTAAATAAAAATCTTCTGCCATAGTAGGAACCTGGATCGTTACTCCATCTTTAGTTGGTATCTCCAATAACCTGACCAAAAGTGTAGATGTTTTTCTGTTTACCTCCTAAGTGAACAATTTGAAGTACTTTCAATCGTAATGTGGTTTGTAGATTCTGGAGGTGATGTGGATATTGTGGTAGCTTCTGATAAAGAAGTAAAAGTCAGCCCAGTCCGGGAGGCGTTCCAGGCAGTTTTTGGAAAAGCAACTGTGACGTAAGTACGATTTTAATAAATATTAATAATTGAATGTGAAAACTTAAATATAAATAAAAAGATAGGAATAATATGAGACTTTCTGATCTGCAGTTTCTGAACCTAGGAATAGTAACACATTTCAGCATGCAGGTTGTGAAAAAAATTAGTTTTGTCATTTTTATTTCACTATACACTTCAGAGCATTTCTATTGCTTCCATCTCATGTGATTCTAACATATTGTCTCCTTAGTTCCAAGAGTATTGTTTCAATTTGAGAAGGTCGTTGTACTTTTCTGTGTTAATGAAAGAAAATCAATAGATGAGTGTTATATAGAGTTTTGGCATGTGGACTTCAAAATTTTCTGACCCAATTTCTGCGCTACAATGAATTTTCTTTTTCAGATGTTTTTCACTCTCTCTTAGGTCTTTTAATTGCTTCTTGTAGTTCAACTTCCACATACATACACCTTATACTGTCATACAAGTTCATCATTTTAGTCATACTTACACGTTTTCCTTTCCAAATTACTAAAAAGTACGTAATTGAATTATATTTAGCTTTTTGTTATTTTATTTCCATTAGATGGTACAAATATGTTTTAACATGGGTAGATTTATTCATTATAATAGCTGTCCAAGGAACATCCTGAAATTTTTCAACACTCCCAAAATTCAAGCTTTTCTTTCTTTTCCTTATCCATCTTCTCCCTTTTCCTCCTCCACCTCCTCTTCATCCTCCTCCTCTTCCTTCTACTTCTCCTTGTCATCAAGATTTCAGTCCCATATATATTTGTCATTAATCATTTTATTTCAATATTTTCATATCTCCCTCTGTTAGTCGGTACATTTGATGTTTAAATGATTTTCATTCTGGATATTCCATCTTCTGATAAGATCTGAAAATGTTGACAGAAGCTTGTGCAGTCAGTTTTTGGTCTTCATGGCTTAGTTACCTAGAAGGCAACTTAGTAATGTATTGACACTTGGCAGCTGAAGACATAACTTAGTGGACAAACAGCATATGTGACCAATTGAAAAGAAAAGGACCCAAAATCTATAATGTAAAATTAACAAAAGAGCCAAATTCTGTGATTGGGTGTAAAAATAGCATTTCTGTATTTTTTATTGCAGTGGTTTTCATATTTTTACATCCCTTTCTGATGCATAATTGGTAATCATTAAACTTACTTTCTTAAACCTTGTCTTAATTACATATCTTGTGAGATACATAGTGTGGTAATAAATAATATTCACAAACTATGTAAAATGTAATAAAAAGTTTCCTAATATGGCAGATAGAAGTCTAAATATACCGTATTATTTGGGAAAAAAGTCTATGCTTGCATTACGCATTAATTTCTCCAAAAAATGCAAATACGCATGGATAAAGTATGTATTTTTAAAATGAGTTTGAGTTTGCCAAGAAAGATATATTTCCAAAGTTTGGAAGCTCTACAAAGGTTAAATAAAAACACGCATTTGCATGGAAATCCTGTCTCTAATAATTATTACAGGAACTTTGCAAAGTATCTTGTGAGTTACATAAAAAAATCTTGAACCTAAGACTGCAATACATGGAATTTATTATTATTTTCACACCCTATAGACCACAGTAGTAAAAAATTTACCATAAAATAATTTTTTCTCATGTGAACCTGTGCTTGCCAAGTTAAGAGTTAAATAATTGAAAGTGATGTACTTTTAGAAAAAAGTGAAAACTTAAATTGCGTTTTTCCCAAAGATAGTCTTGTTTTAGTGTAAACATTCAATAATTGATCTTCTAAAGTATTTCAAAAGCATCTAGAACTGTAGACATTTTCTTTTCTTCTTTTGCCCTCTCTCTTCTTCATTTCTCTCTCTCTCTTCCCCCCACTATCTTATGCTAATTTTTTCACCTACAAAATTCTCAGAATTGAAAAATTCAACATCACACTTCTTGTACAAATGCACCACCAGTTACACATAGGGCCTATGGTATTACTAATATTGCTTAGGCATGGAATATTGTAGCGTAGTGAACAAGGGCTTGCTTTTGTTCTGCAGGGGTTTGGCAGCACAACCTACTAATATTGCAGCACAACCCGTGGGATTCGAAGCGGCCACCACTGCTGCCCGAGAACGGATCATTGCCGTACGAGCAACCCACGGACTTCCTGCCCAGCAACCAGTGCTAGCTGTGGAGAATTTCCTCCTTGAAATTTCACCTGATAAGTATGTTTGGTGTGCCACTAAATGGAGGGGGTGGGTAGGGGGAAATATTGTTTTAAACCTGTACAACTTTAACATTTTCTACATTTTAACTTTTATATTGAATTTGAACATTGTTCAAAGGTTATTTTTGTTTTATTTTTAAATTGAAATAATTAATATATTTGAGTTCAAATTTATCTTTTAAAATTGGGTGGTGGCAATGGCGGATTTACACATGGAGCACCCTGGCCACTGCCCTCTCTGCTGCCCTTTTTTCTATTTAATTTTTTTAATAAAGACAATTAAGTTTCAGTAATTTCTAAAGCATTTATGCAATTACTAATAATACAAAATTTTATAATAAAATGAATAACATTACACAAAATCAACTAAAATCTCTTGTGTCTTGCTAATTGGACATTTGGTCAATGAGATCATCACAGTTAATTGATTTTAAAGTTTTGGATTCTACTGCCAACAACACAAGCACATTTAATCGATTTATAGTCATTTATGATGTGAGGTAGTTTTTCACTCTTTCTAATGTGAAAAAGATCTTTCAGTGTTGCAGTTACTTATTGGTGAGCAGACAATCATCTGGTATTCAATATCAACATTGGAATACACCATGTCCAAGTCATTTCCACAAAGAAACTTCAATTCAATTGGAGACAAATTTTCAATATTTTTCTCAGAGCATTATGATTGGAAGTGTAACATTTCATTTCTCGGTTGTAATTGCTGCGTTCTGTGAGAAGTTGGTTTTTCGCCTGATAGGGTTTCTAGTCCATATGCAGGTTAGTTTGGTGATGGGTATGCCATCTCACTGCCTCCAAACTTGCAGGGCAGTTTTTCAGGTTGCTCGCTCTAGATGCATTGCCTTCCACGGCTTTTGAGTTGCATCTACCCAGGACGTCTTCACCATCTTTTCCACGCTAACGATGTTCATGCATGGTTCTTCTAGCAATTTCTTCTCGAAATCCTCTTCTTGGCGTTGAGGTCCTCTTCTGGAGTACTTTTTCGTCTCACCCCTATCCCTTGACCTGTCCGGCAAGGGAGGCCCTACCAGTAGCTATGCTACCGCTGGCGTAGCTCACGGGGTCATGGGGGTACTCAAGCTCCGCCACCAACAAGGTCCTGTACTCCCAAGGCGGAGTGAAGTATGGACAATGACATGTAAAGATATATCAAGACTGCAGGCAGCGGAAATGAGATTCCTTAGAGCGGTAGCGGGATATAGCCTTTTGGACAGACAAAGAAACACACAAATCCGAAACGAGCTAAATGTAGAAAGTCTTGTAGAGAAAGTCACCAACTACAGACTCTCATGGCAAGATCACATGTTGCGAATGAACAATGACAGAATTCCTAAACAAGTGGCAAATTATCAGTCGAGAGGAAAAAGGAATGTAGGACGTCCAAGAATGCGCTGGAGGGACCAAAATTAAGCGGCGTAACAGGCATTATGCCTAAATACTTGAAGATAAGAAGAAGAAGAAGACATTTCATTTCCCAATGTGCCTTCTAAATCCATGTCACAGAAGTCTTGCAGCAAATGTGATTTTTCTTCTTCAATGCTCACATTCAAATTTCGAAGTTCTAAAATTATAAAGAAATTTCTACTGATCTTGAGAGATTCATTTCTTCTCACAAATTAAGTAATCAAAAATCACATAGAATGTACTGACTTTGAAAAGATTGCAGGTCAATTGTTTGTTAATTATTAATTAAAAGTTGTGCCTTTTAATCAATTGAGTTAGAAAATGGTCATGTACAGCTCACATTTTTGGGTAAACAAAAATTCTAGTGATTTCTATTGATTATTAACTGAGAGATCACAAATTGAAGCAAAAATGAACTAAGGAAATTTATATAATATTTACTGTTTATTATTTACTTCAATTATGGTAATTTAATAAATGTGTTTATGTAACAAAACTGTGGTACTACAAATAGCACTTGCTCATTTGCATTATTTCTAAATTTGCAATATTCGAAAACTCTGAGAATTCAACAAACATGTGACCTCTGGCTATTCTTTTAAGCATCGCTTCTTCTATGCATGGAGAAAATTTAAGAAAAAGTTTGGAACGGTTTTTGAACAAAAATGTTTTTTGTTTTTTTAATTGCCTTTTATCATGCCAAATTACATGAAAAAAACTCATATTTTTGAATAATTGACCATGAACTTATTTAAAGATTGGGCAGATTTCATATTAGAAAAAATTCTCTATCTTCAGTATTATTGATGTGGGATGATGCCCCCCCCCCAAAAAAAATTGCACTTTCGCAGTTCACACTTTCAAAAAATATGGGATTCGAATGAACATGAGTCTGACATCAAAGTATCCTTTATGCTATCCAAGGCCATATTATGTTAAAAAAAATATTGAGCCATTTTTGAAAAAAATATTGAAAAAGTTTTTGTGGCTTTATGTAAAGACCTTCAAAAAATCAATGCCTCCATTTGAAACTCTCAAAGACTCAAATCATTCAAATTGCTTGAGGAACATCAATTTTTAAAGAATATTGGCTGAACAGTTTAGGTGCTAGCATTGACCAGAGACACAAGCATGTTTTGCAGTCAGACGATTCTTTGGTATCAAGAGCCACAAAATATGGATTCTTTCTACATCAGGTATTAAAGGAGTTTTTTTCTAAATATAGCAATGGATATGTGTTCTTTTATGTAACCAGGGCATAGCAGTAAGAGTTTTCCTGCCAAATATTCACAGCTTTCCAGCACACAATTACTTAACTTTCTCTTCTGTTGAAGTACCTTCGTAAGGGCAAGAAAGTAACATATAAGCTTTGACATGCTGAAAGTGAAGGTCCTAAAAAAATTGAATTTACATAATTTTGTTTTTAAAAGTTCCTCTATATTGTTCTTTGCTGGCTAGCTGCCCAAGTGCAAGTGCTCTTGTTGAAGCAAGATGGTCAATTCTAATTGCTGACAATAAATAATGTTTTGGATATAAAAGCTTTTGGATTAAAAAAAATTTGCTGCCCGGGGGACCAGTGCCCTCAGTGCCCATGCCTAAATCCACCTCTGGGTTGGCGGTATGCATCAACTCAAGGTCTCGCTTGGAAAAGGGAGAGGGAAGGCAGACTCCAATAGGGAGTCATTAAAGTGGGAGAGTAGTGTCGTTGCAGCACCCTATTGGAGTCTGCCTTCCCTCTCCCTTTTTCGCACGTTAAAGAAATTGAAGTACGAGTGCCAATTTTTAACAAATCAGTCCCTAGTGTGTTTGAAAATTAGTTTGAACTACACAAATATCAACACTTTTTCTTTGTAACATTAATAATAATTAACTTTAAGAAATTGTGTGCACTATTTGATTTTCTTTGGTAAGTATAGAATGTTACTTAACAAACATATACATAACATCATCCAAATATCATGTTTCCTTATTTTTACATGATTTGTGTATTAAATATTGTTTGACACTAATGCACCAGAATGTTCTACACAAAGTGTCTGATATGCTTCCATCCTTGCAGCAAATTGAAGTCATGTTTTTTGCAGTCAAAGCAGCACCCTCTGGAGACAGAGTATTCTAGTATTCTGTCTGGCACTGGTTATGGCCAGGTGGGCGTGGGCCATGTGTTATATAAATGTGTTCGTGACCAAAAACGAATAATTTAAAAACGGAATGATAATATGTTAGGAGAGCAAATTGAGAAACTTTATATACACATTGCTTACTGCATCTCTTATTGTCATAACGATGGAAATTGTTGAAATGGTATTGTAGTTAGCATAAAGCCTGAAAGTGAATGTTATTGCAAAAAGAAGTAAATAAACAAATCACAAACAAGGCAGCAAACTTGGAAAATGATATATTTGTGGTTTGATGACTTTTATTTTTACAGTTATATGCCAAACATACGAAAGGTATTGAGAATATTATTTTTCTAACCTTTAATATAATTTAAATACAGATAAACAAAAAGCAATAATACAGAAATAAGATTTGACACAAACAAAACACCACCATCAATCACCTCTCATATTTTTACTGCAAAAAGGATGGTGGCTTTGAGAGTCGAACAAGATTGCTGAAACTAGCCACTCAATGTAGGATCAGCCACTCAATGTAGTATATTCTAGCTTGTTGTTTGAAACTCACCAGACCGGAGAATCAAGGTGTAATGATTTGGCAGAAATCCAATATAGTAATTAAAAGCATTTCACCTCTGTGAGTGCTTTGCAACCCCCCAAAAATACATTTTATTCCTAGACATCTTCCAGAATATTATAGAAAGGTTCGGCTAAAAATAGTGCCAATTAATTCATCTTGTTGAGAGTTGTTAAATTATCACCTCTTTTGGTGCCTTAAAATGCCTCCAAAATAATTTTAGAAGCATAACCCCCCTCCCAAAAGAAAAATAATTTTAGGAGTGTCTTCCCCCACAAACAAACAAAAATCTTTTTAAGACTTCTCCCCTTCCCCTATACATTGTAGAATCTTGTCACCCCCCTCCCATACACACATTTTAACAACACTACCCTCACCCCCAATAAGCATTTTCGAGAATCCTCTTAGAATATTTTAGAAGCAGTGGCATAACGTATGGGCCCGCAATGCAGGTGGACCCAGGTAAAAGACAGCCTACATTTAGGCTGAAGGTTTTACAAATGCCAGAAATATTAATTACTTGATACTTTGCAATAGTTGAAACATGAAAAGATTACAAACAGCATATTCCAGAAGAACAATTTTGTCTGCTTATGTAACCCTGTTTCTAAATCAAAAAATCTAAGCAATTCATTTAGGTTTTACGACAGTCTTAATTTTATAAAATTAAATAATAAAGGCTGATTTTTCCACTATTGGTTATTAATCTTAGTCTGATGAATTTGAATTTCTTAAAGGATATTTTTATTATTTAAGGTACTAACACTACTTGTGTTTACTATACACTTTTATAAAGGTCCCGGATGAAAGTTTTGCGGGCGAGCTCGCTCCCATTTTGTTACGCTACTGTTTGGAAGGATCCCAAAATCTTCTCAGCTCCCCACCAGCAGACCTTGACACGTCAATTGATCCTCACTTGACGTGAATGGTGGACCAGAAGAGGTTTATCCATGAATAATAGTTGGACAGTTGGAGCCATGCACATTCAGTTCACTTGTTTACTATACATAGGATAATTAGGTGGTTACAAAAAATGTCAGTGAATGACACACTTAAACAGTAATCAAATGATTTATGTAAAAGTGACTGATAATATCTTAATATAACTGAAAAAATTCTATTGGATAAATTTTTAAAATTATAGTAAATTAACATTTTTAATTCTCTCTCAATATCCAGCCTTAACTAATGACTAGCTTTTCATAAAATTAAAATTGGATTGTTAAGAAAGGTAAATATTTTATTCCACCTGGTTCTAAGCCTAAGACCTTCCATTCTCCAAACAGATGCTACTGACAGAACTATGGAATCAAACTCTACTTATGTGAAAATTTAATAATTTTATAGTGATCACTGATCTTATATAAGGCACAATTTGCATGAAGGGTGAGATTAATGAACCCTTCATGCTATTTGAACAGAAGTGTTGATGCAGCAGCACTGCATCATATTTCCCAAGCCTTGGATTTTGCGGGTTTGGTGGTATAATGGTTAACATATCAGGCTGTTATACCCAAGATTGTAGGTTCAAACCTAATCGAAGTCATGTATTTTAAAGGCGAAAAAATCCTTTGTTACTTTCCTTCAGAGGGAAGTAAAACAGACTGTCCCATATAGTAGATTTGCTGCATGTAAAAGATCCTCAAGCTTAAAGAAGCTTCTAGACCTGAATTAAAATTGTCTGTTTTGTTGCCCAAGTTATTTGTTGTGTCTCTGCTGGATGGAGAAAGGGGTGTAGCGAAATTTGCATGGCCAGTCAGACGAGTAGGCCTGGAGAAATGTTGACACATAAAATAAGGCATTATCTCACTAAATAATTAACTGCCTACAGATGGTTCGACATTGGCCTGTTGCTTCTCAGCGACCCTGGTCAAGCCCTTGAACTCAGCACTTTCACCCAGGGCACTCCAGTTCCTGCTCCTATCGTTGCCCTTGCTCATGAGGCAACGCCCGCTGACTACCCCTTAAAAGCCTCTGGTCTAGCAACGACAGTTGGATCATTAATGGGGCAGAACCTTCAGGTAAGAAAATGTTTTGATAAATGTTTTAGCATTGAAACCTCGGTTTTCTGCATATAATCTAATTTCAAGAGAAGAAGTATTGGATTCATAGAATGCTTGTGGCAAAAAAAGCAGTTTGTTTTTATAGTTAGTATCTTTTTAGGCAGGTGGCAGACAGGCTTCATTTTTCGATTGTCCCCAGGAATTTCAATTGTAATTTTCATTTCAAGCCAATGTGGACTACATTTATTTCATTGTTCCCTTGCTCTTTCCTACTTCCATATCTACCAAAATTGCATCATTTTTCTTTTCTCTCTTCTATCCATATGACCACCAATTTTCTTTCAAGGTCTGCCCTGGAAACCTGAATATATAAAGTTTGCATGAACATATTGTGCTTTATATATCATTTATTGTAAGTTTTGGGTTGTCTATAAAAACATAGGTATGTTTATTGCACTTTTTCACTTTCTCTTTTTTATGACTCCCTTGACACACACGCACACGTGCGCACGCACACACATGCGCACGTGCACACACACACACACACAATCATGGATAGAAAATGGCAATTGAGGTCTCTTTTGTGAATGTTCATAGGAAATCAAAGAAAAATCAAAGCTGTGTAAATCTGTTTACTTTTCAAGACAGCATTTGGGTAACAGTCTTGTAAGATATTAACAAAAAACTGTGAATTGTGTGTTACATGCATAGTGTACATATAATCATTAATTTAATTAAATTGCAATAATCATGTAGGTAATAGGATTTCTCATGTGACTGTCCAATGTGAGTTCTTCTATTAATAATGTAATGCCAGCTAGGTTAAATTTGAATATTTCCTGGAAAAGATCTACAATCACTCTACAATCAAATATCATAGAGTAATCGTTGTACACAGCAATAACTTGCTCTCCATTATCAAAGGCTGATTGAATATCATTGGTGAAAATTGATAAATTTGTTAAGATGAACACTCCAATTTTGAAACCACGTTGTATAATTATTTGATCTTCTAATTTGGGTTTCTAAAATTTCAAAATGACGGTTAAAAATTCTTTTGACTTAAGAATTCTAATGTATCAGTAATTACATCAATGTTATGATCACCCTTTTAAAATATTGGAGTAATATAGATAGTTTTCCAGTTTGGAAGGTAGGAAACAGTTTTAATGTACTTATTAAATAACCCACTTAAAGGATAGATGAGCTGCTCATCAGAATATATTTCAAATCTATATTCAAAAATGCCATCAGGGTATCAGCCAAAATGTGTTTTTTAGTTCATATATTTGAGTTGAGCTAATTCAGGAGTCATGACAAATTTTGGGTCATTATTAGCCCGTTTATGCCATTATTACAAAAACGTTAATATTGAAATCAAATGATCATTATCTTGCTGATGTTGATTAATGGCGTAACCAGGGGGAGGGAGATAAATGGCAGAACATCTACCAGGATCCACTAGTGCAGGACACTTGCTTGGGTCCAAGTGAAAGTATTAATATTGGTGGTTTTGTGGATTTCTTTCCAGGTTCCCCCTTCTCAGTGGCATGAAGCCTTAACTGGAGTGCCGAGACGCGAAATGGTCCTGATTGCTGCTCGCGCTCTTGCTGGCATGTACAAGAGCAGCAACCGCAGCCTCTTATGAAGCTCTTGTTGTGTTTCTGAATAGCTGGAATCGTATAATGTGTAAATATTGAAACATACTCTCATCCTGTATCCAAGGATTGTTCGACGTTGTACATTTGAGTAATGGTATAACATAACATTCTTATTTTCTTAACTAATTCACTTTGCTGTTTTCATCACTACTCAGTTGTGTTGTAAAACAGGCTAAACATGATCACTATTCATTGAAAAGAGCAAATCACTGATGGCCATCATGAAATGATGCAGTCGTGTAGCAGTTGTAATCGAATATAACTATAGTCTCGTAATTCTCTGCCAGTTATTAGCATCAACTATATTTGTTGGCTGACAAATACATTAATATCAAGGATATTTCTAAGTGCACCTCAAGTAATCACTGTTCCAAAAAGCAATGATTTTTGAAAAAATTAACATGTTAGCCTAATAGCCGTGTGCAGACATGTCAAGATGCTTATAACAACATGAAGTATTCTGCTGTCTGTCAAAGCAAAGTGGTTTTATTCATTTGTGTTTTAGTATGAACTTTTCTTTTTAAATTGTTTTCTGATATTTTTATTACTACATGTATTTGACTTGTTGTTACTTTTTCATTACAATCTGCAACAGTCAGGAAGATTTTATCCAGCATATCAGACTGATGTCATTGTACAGCATAACATTTAAATACATTAAAAAAAAGGAAACTTTAGGAGCAGAAAGAACAAATCTTTATTATTTTTACTATGGCACTTTTTAATGTTTGCTTTGCCTGTAATCTGTATTTTCTCTTAGAATTTTATAATGTCACGTAACATACTAACTATAAATATTGACCTTTCCCTCAAATTTCAAAACGCAAATTGGAAAATTGCCCAGTGGTGTTATCTTAGTCATTGCATGAAAACCCTCTTCCAATCCAAATTGTTGCTACTGGCAAGAAAAACAAAAGTTTATTGTAAGTGTGTATTTGTAACTCTTTGTAACATATTGGTGAGGGATAAAAAGAAAACAAATAAAAATGAAGACTGTTATATTGTAGTAAATTGATGTTATGTGCTACAAAAGTAATACAAGTTCTTGGGAAGAAAATATTATCTGGACTTTGTACTGTTCTAATAAAGAATTCTAAAAACATCAGATACTGTTTCTTATTCTAGTTCATTAGGTTCATTGCTGACAATTAACATAAATCCAAAACCTTACATCCATGCAAGATGATGGTTGGTTGGTCTTGTGTTTAATCCCAGCCCAGTACCAGATATTTATTTGACATTTTGAACATCAGTGAGTTTGTAGTGTTTGTCAAGATAGAGTTCAATTGCTCTCATGAGTGTTTCCGATTACTTGTAGGCAAACACCAGAAGACATCTCATTGAGGACTGAACCTTCTGCAGGATTTTGACGATTTAAATCAAGCGATTTAAATCTAAATCACATGATGAACCAAATAAAATCACTGATTTATGTAAAAAATGTAATTTATTGTCAATTTTACAAAGAATTATTAAAAATTTGAAGGTCAAAAAACGAAAAAGGAATATATATCCAGAAAACTAAAATGATTGTATTAGAAAGAAGGCAAGGAATAGTGGAAAAGAATATATTTTTAAAAAACCTAAGTTTGTGCCAGTCAAAATGCATGTTGGGATTAACCCTTGTAAAAGATAATGGGGAACACTCGCATCAAGTTCAAATGATGAAAAATACTTGTGATTTCTATAAATTGGATAAATATAATACTCAAAATTCATATTTATTGGGACTAATTAAGTCATTTTCTTGCAAGAGACGACAGAACCAATTTTTTTTAAAACACCAACAATTATTGAAAAACCCAAAAACACTGATTGAGACATTAATATTTTTTCTCATGATTTGCGGAAAGTTGCCTTGATTTATAAACAAAAATTCCAGGAAGATTTTACTGATTCATGTTTTCCGAATTATATTATGAAACTTTTAGTAAAACCTGTTTAGTGGATATTAATGTTTCAGAACTAGGTCAATGTGGGGCCCCATTGTTCTGCGCTCTTTAATATTTTCTCTCTTTTTTCAAATATCTAAAAATGTTGCCTAATGTGAGTATTTAAATTTGAATTTAAAAAATCCATTAAAAAAAATTATTTTAAAAAATCATGTTTTTTATTAACCCTGACCTTCTGATAGGGTGATGATTTGACCACATCACAATTTTGCCACTATTCTTCAGGTAATCCCCCATTGCACAAGATATTTTATTCGTTCTCTCTTGGACGTCAGTAAGATATGCAGGGAATGTGGACTTGCTATTTGGTTGGTAATATGAATCATCATAAACTCTCTCGACAGACTTCAAGAAATTCAGTGCTGATTAATGGTGGATGATTATTGGGTGGAAGTTTAATACCGTGCTGAATATATGTTGACAGAAGAAAGAGACTTTTCTGGGGTTTGTATTTGGCGAGGTAAATTGCCATTAAGAGGCATAATTATAGGCAATAATTTTACTTGCAAAAATTCTTAATGTGAAAAGACTTCCAGATTATTGAATGTATAAACCCAGTCTATAACTACTTCTGTAGTGTCTTGGATATGGATAACATAGTGATCTTGATATTTATTGAAAATCTCATTAATAATGAGGGCCACATCAGAATTCACCTAGTTGGAGTGATCTTTGGCCTACAAGGCAAAAATTGAATGATCTATATGTTCCCACCATATAGTCCCTGATGATACTATCATACAATATTTTTGGTTATGATTAGAAGTGGTTGGAATTGGTATTGATTGAAGAGTTAATATCTTTAGTATATTGTTGGATGGAAAGGTGCTACTTACATATTTGTTAGGGAACTTCTACAGAACTGAATGTTCAAAACTTCAATAAGAAGTTACCAGTTGTGTAGAATCAATCAAAACATTCTTCTGGGAGTCAATACTCAGATTCCACCACTTAATGTTCAAGGAAGCTCTTGAAAATATCAATTTAGCACTTTAACTTTCAGGGCATGAAGGATGTCCAGACTTACTTTTTTTTTTTTTTAATTGCTCAAGTATAACTCATCTCCACTAACTCAAATAAATGCAATGCTCTGGAGGCAGGCATTCACTGCACACACCACCTTACTGCACTTGGATCTTCAAGTGTTCGGTAATTAGAAGCACATTTGACGCTGGTTTTGCTTCTTCTTTCTTTCTTTCTTCCCTGCACCACCAGTTGCAACACTTGCAGTATTCGCTTTAGCCTCTTCCTTCCGTAAGGATGCAAAAATAGAGCCTCACCAGGGCAATGCCACAAGCCCCACTAGAGTGCTGGGTTGTAAACATTATTTTTTGGAAGAAAATAGTGTTTCATGAATTGGGATTAAGTTTTTGTACAAACAATTTATGTATTCTTGTATACCATCAGATAGTGCATTTGGCACTGTCTCAGTACGGATATGTCTGTACATCCTGTTTCGTATAATACAACAATAATAGCAGTTTAACCTGAGTGAGAACGACCTTGTAGTTCTAGATCATGAATTTTTGCAAAAACTGAAGTTAAATACATTGAATAACAAAAAAATAATTGTAAACATTGATAAGCCCAAATAGTTGTTGTTGAGTAAAATATTGTCCGATTGCTCAATTTTAATATTCTTTCCTTTCCTCCACAGTTTCCTTCTAGTTTTCAAATTTTTCCTTGCAGTTTATTTAATATACTCAAAAATAAATAATTGCAATTTAGACTCCTTTAATTTTGGCTACCATGTTAATAATTTACTAATTAACATCCTATTAAATGCTCTGAAATCATTGAATAAAAATTGCTTTTAAGGTTTCTAAACTTTAATTGTACACTTGAGACATAAACAAAATGTGCTCTCAGCAAAGAATAAAAGAGAATGTTAATAACAATAGGAAGACTAGCACAAAATTGAACTCTTATATCTCAACATCACCTTAATTTTGCTTATTCTTTTGGATTTTGACAGTCCTACCATTTTGAAAAATAAATCCAGAAAATGTTAAAGATTAATCTCAGAAACGCTACATATAAAAACACACAAGACAATTAATTTCATGTTAGAAATAGTTTCACAAGCATTTACGACTGTTCTTTCTAAAATAGAATTATTCCACACAGGAAGGATGTATGTTTTTATATTGGGAATTTTTCCCATTTACGGAAATTCTTTCTGAAAAAAATGGATAAATCCAGTTTTGATATTTTATTACATAGTGTGCATAATTAAACATGTTTTGTTATGTTCCCTTTCATCTATTTTTTTATTGTAGTTATCACATATATATATTTTCTCACCTCTACTATTTTTTTAATTTTCATTCTCTGCTTTTTTAGTAATCATTATCATGATTTTTTTTTTCTTTCTTCAATATCTTCAAAAAAATAGTTTCTCTTTTATTTACAGTTGCAAACGTGTTTTTTTATTAATAATGACACATCTGAAGATGCTTGTAACCAACTTGCAATACATTGTGTGTGAAAATATTGCCTTTTTTTATGATTAATGTACTGATTGATTGTCAAAAAATGAAAGGATATTAAGAGTTACTACTACATGAAATAGAACACCACATACTGTAGGATTTTTGCATTGGACACCGATAGATTTGAATATACCAACCCAAGCATTTACAATTTGAAAACATTCTAAGAATTAATTTTAAATATTAATTTTAATTAAGATCAGAATGTAAAGTTATTGTCACAAAATTTGAATTAGGTGATAACATTCTCCTCTGACAGACCACTTCTAATGATCACTTACACAAATCTCAATTTAAATAGTCACACAACTAATTTCTGGAAAGATTTTCAATTGCAGATGGTTAAAGGTTAGCAAATGATTAAAAACTTATCAGAGGCAGTAAGAAACAAGATTTAAAAGACCAGCACAATAAAAACATATAAGCTAATCTAAAACAAGTACTCTTAAAAAGAGGGTGGCGGGACTTCACTTGGGGGTTCACATAGTTCACTTATAAATTTAATAACATGTCTCGGTTTGTGAAAATTAACCATTAAAAAATATATCCCTCTTTTGCTGCTAACATTACATATAAATAAACTATTATTTAAGTGTTTACTCAAGAATTGTTAGCAAATTAGTAATTATGATGGAATAGATAATCAAGGAGTATTATATAAATTAATACACAGTAAGTTGAACATAATATTTAATTCTTCAAACTTCTTAAAATACAGGGCTCAAAACAAATGCACAACAAAAATGTATCAATTTTCAAAGTATTCCAGGTTTACAGCATGCAATTGCTGAGGTAAATTTTTCAACTTTATTTTATGTACTTCATTATTTACAATATCTAATAATTTATTATTCACAATAACACTTCTCGTTTACATGAAAAATTGCTAGCCCAACTTACTTAGTAGATACTCTCGTTCTCTTATTCCAAGAAAAGTTAAATCCATAACTTTTCACTCGAGGCTGCTTGGGAGTAGGTTCATCAACGAACCACTGCCAACCATTCTTTTCACAAAACTTAATTGCTTCAGTTTTACTGCTAAATTGCAACTTCATGTTAGATAGAGGATCACCTGTAGAAGCCCATCCCATTAGTGGATTCTCCCAACGTTCTCGTGTTTCAAAGGCCATTTCCCAACTTTGTATATTATCTGTGCCAGACTGCATGGAGTTTTTCGCTGGCACATAAATTCTTACACGACGGGTTTTTATATGTTCTTCTGGTACACCAGTGATTGCTGCAATATCATCTGGTGTTTCAATTGTTATGTACCCTTGACGCAGCTTCTCTTGGGCAGCATCTTCAGGCCTCAAGAGAGCAAGCCTCTGTTCAATTCGAGGAGCATCAGGTCCTTTCGACGACTCTTCAGCGTTCAATACATTGCAAGAGGAGATACCATTTCGATAAACATTCCATATTTGCCCTCTCACAGCTGACAACATAGGACGTCCCAACACCATCGACGCCATGTTCAAAGATACCCACACTCCCCTGGCACTTGGAGGACTGTTCAGAAAAAGCTCGGATGTGGGGCAGCAACTGATCACATGCGCATATCAGCATCAAATTAATTACTTCATAGAATCTTGTAAAAAATGTTTATGTCTCAATCTATGTGAGATATGTACACCTCCGGTTGCATATTTACAAAATGTATTTCTGGGACACACGGATTTCGTTACTCTTATGTTTACTTATTCCGTGCACCGTTTTCAATTGTTCAATATTCAGTGTTGACAACGTAAAGCCTTTAGGTATTGCTTCCTTCATTCAAAATTTGCCCTCAATGTGCAGTCAGCATCGATAACTAATTTCGACTTTAATTATTATACATTTTAATAGACAACACAAATAAAATGAATACAATTTTTTTTACTGGTTTATAATTTATTTTTATTTCTTGCTTTTAAAAGGGGGTTACCGCAACCGACACGTAATTATTTAGGAGTTCAATCGCACGTGACAGATGCGTTACAGGGGGGAGAGGGTATTCAAAATATTCCGAATTTGCGTTATGTAATTTAAGGATGGCCCCTAAGAACGGTGCATACGAAACTTTATGGTTTCATTAATATTTCGTTGCTGAATCAAACGAGAATTCGAAACATTTTATAACTTTTGTTGCACCTGAATTGAAAGTATTTGTTGTAATCGTCATTTGCCAATATGTCGATAGATAAAACAGAATGTGAATCTATATAATCTAAAAATAATTATTATTACATAATCGTTGTTGGACTGATTTGTCCGTACAAAATGTAAGAATATAGTGAAGTTCCTGCGGAAATTGTCGCAGAAGCTAACAAAGCTACGGACAGTGGATTCCGGTAAAATCTCTACGAAATATGAAAGCGATTATGGTGTATTTGAGAGTCGTACGGAAAATTAGTATTTAAATTATTCATATTATGTTCTCAGATTCGTCTCTCGTCGCATCACGCCGTTTTAATCATTCTTTTGGAATAAAAAACACCGGTGTCGTTAGACAAATTGCTAAGATCCGTGAAGTCGAAACACCACTGATGCGTGACCATCTGGGAACCCAAGTTACTATTAGCGCCGAACCCCTGTCCGAAGGGATAAAAGGCAACGACTGACTGTGACGTTGAGACAAAAGGCAAAACTTAACGGAGGACTGCTCCTAGTATGAACCACATACGCTCAGTGACCAAAAGATGACAAAGAGTAATTGCAAGAAAAAGAGTAACAGATGCTTTTAAAGTTATGCCGTATATAGGGGTGTCGGTGGGTGAGGTGTTAGCTTACTGGCTTCCGAACCCCTAGCACTCAGGGTTCCATCCCGCCCGAGGAACCCGTATTATTAAAGGACGGAAAATCCACAGTACCCATGTCACACTTGTGGCACGTAAAAGAACCCTGGCGGTGTGCCCGGCAAAATTAAATCCCTCCGATATTTGCTCTAACGAGATCTCATTTTTCTCCATACAGTTCGGATATAGCAACTGAGGCCGTTATCTGCCGGAGAAAGTGATAGTCTAATTCCAGGCGCATTGGGGACTGCCCCCAAGGCGCATCTGCTCGATAAGGTCCCCAGTCCCGTTTCGGAGGTAGGCTTCTAAAGACGCCTGGGTCGAAACCTCGGGGAAGGCAACAGGAAACCACCCTGAATAACTCATCGCAAGAAAACCCATATTGGGTCACCTAACTTCCGTATGTGGACCAAAGAAGAAGATGCGCTGCACAGAATCATGGATGTTTCATATTAACACGAGGGCCGAAGGCCGGAGCTGCGTCCTCAATTTGGAAGTGCAGAGCGAAGCGTCAACTCCCTTGTGCATAAAATACATTGGTAATTGTGTGTCGCATAGACTCAAGGATCGTTATACGTCAAAACAATTGCTGAAGGCCTGAGCCCCGCCCTTCACTAGCGTACCGAAGTGTCAACTACCCTTTTCAAGTTATTTGTAAACCTAGAGAAGTTGAGTCTAGTGGGGGGCTCTTGCTGTAAACGGAAAGAATAAATCAGTGGGCTTAGACGGCATTTCGGGAGACTTATTAAAAGCAGGAGGAGAATCCGTGCTTTCGTATCTGTAACGACTTCTTGATGTTGAAAATTCGTCTGTGATTAGGGTCGTATTCATAGACTCACTTATAGCAAGGAAGGAGTTCCTTGTAGCCTTTAGAATTATTCATAAAATTACATTGTTATTTGATTCCAAAGGAACATCCGGCGGTACAATTCAGTAGTACACCCAGCATGCAATTCGGTACCCTCTGAGCACCGTTGGCTAACAAACCCCGATATGCCACGCGGTTTCAATGCGTGACCACAAAGCATCGAAGAGTGGGTGTAGACGCACCATAACTAACAAGTGGACAACCGATCGTATCCATAACACGTTCGGTGCACGACGAACGTGCAAACGTGCTGGCGAACGTGCAGGCCAGGAAAGCAGTGAGGTATCTGACATTCTTCGCAGAAAGCTGATTAAGCTTAAAAATTTCCACCGTATATAATTATATCACAATGCACTCTGATTAGCAAGCAG